GTGTGGTGACCAAGGACACAGTCACACAGTGAGGAAGTCCTAGAGGACAGTGGGACTTAATGGTCAGGCCCGTGGTCCTTGATCTAGTGGCAGTGTTGGCGAACATGGCCAAGGACAAAAAGGGATTTAGTGGGGACTGGAAAGGAGATATTGGGGAAGGCTATTCCCCATGTCTGTGGGCATCTTAAGGATGCTAAGGAGTGGATCTGAGATGACCACTCATGGTCGGATGGCTAGTCTTGGAAAGACGGGATTGCAATGCAGGTGGTGTTGGACCACCGATGTGGCCAAGATGAATGGGCATAGCCTAGCGTAATAGGCTGGTATGTTGGTGGTACCTTGGGGTGTTGATCATGGGATCGGACACGTGGAGCACTTGGACCAAGTGCAAAGGTTGAGTGGCATGAATGTCATTTTTGGGGCGAGCAAGCCTAAGTCTTGAATTGGATTTATGGAGGTTGTGAATGAAACTCCTCCAAATGGTCGAAGGTATGGTTAAGTGACTAAAGTAGAATGAAAAATTTAGTCACTTACAAAATTGATTAAATCAATCAATCCTAAAGATCACATCAAATCCCATTATATCCAAAACGGTGAAATCCATATCTATTTACCAAATTCCTATTTTAACTCTTACTTATTGAAGTACCTTATCAGTGCTTTGGCTACCTTGAATAAACTTTATAATCCTTGGTTTTCCCAATAACTACACTATTAGTTTGGCTTACTGGATTATATCTGTAGCCACAAAATTATCCGAATGTCATAAATGTGACAGTAGATATTAAAAGTTACCTATTGACAAGTCCTTTTAGATATTCTTTCTTTACTGTTATGACGGCAAGAGGTTCCTATTGTTAGACCCTTTATTAATCTTCACTCAAGCTAGTTGAGAAACTAGTCATTATGTATGTACTTATGCAGGATAAATATAAGATAGGAACTCCTATGTGTTTCTTGTTAAGCATACTCAGCTTGGTAGGAGAAACTCATATGTTAACTTGCACTTGTTAGTGTTGGGATCCCTTACAATATTGAGCTTGGTCCTTTAATATTCACTAAATGATAGCTTACCGTGTCCATCAAAACACCCCGATATTATGCCCCTTGTATTGGTCATGTTTGGTTCTATTGGCTATTTATAAAAACTTATTGTTCTGACATTTGTGGATTTTCGAGATGAAGATTTGTGCTATCAGCAGTTGTTGTACTTGATGTTTAGTATTCACAATGTATGAAGCAAGATTTTCCTTCTCTTGACAAGGTTTGTGAAACTCAAAAGGTTGAGTTGTTAAGGATAACTTTCTTTAATTTATTGGGATTGATGATCATTTACAGTTAGTGGTATCTTTGATATTTATTCCAAACTTTCTCCATATTTATCATGACTTTCATATTCTATGTGGATATATGGGACATTAGCGTATAACTGAGAAGCTACACAAGTCTTTCTATTAGTCAAAGATAGAATGTGATATTATCCAATATGTGTGTAGTTGTGTTTTGTACTAAGCTCGTAATACTCCCCTCTCGTGTTACGGAAAGACAATTAGAGTTAATTGTAATTTCCCGTCTAATTGCATTAGTGGTATTTAATTTGATGGGGCCTATTCTAGTAACTTTGAGCAGATCTAATCAATAAAAAATTGTTATAGTAGCAATTCAAAGGCAATTACACCTTGCTTACCTTGGAGCCCCCACCCAGCCAGTTCACTTACAACCAGCCATTTGAAAGTCGTCCTCTCCTCTTCAAACACACTCCACAGTCTCTCTGGCCAATGAACAAGTTGGGTAGCTTTGGATTTACCACCTGGCCTCCCCTATTATAGCCACAGACATGCCACATGGCAGATTTGGGATACAGATGGTGAGTTCAAATCTTTCTGGAAATTGTAATAACAAGTGATTGAACTTGAATACTTGGATTGGAATGCCAGCAAGCACCTATCCCTAACGCTTCACTTATTCATGAATAGAGGTTATGCTATGTAAGCAACAGCCTTTTCAGCTTCCAGAAGAAAATTTAGTTTGTTCATACCTTGCCATGGCTGAGGAGCTCTCCTCCTTCATGTCCCGACCCGCTGGAGCTGCTCGAGGATCAATCTTGAGATGCACGGCCTTCAATGAAGCTGAGATTCGATTCCTTCCATGAACTGTCAGTATTATGAGGCAATGTCGCATAACCCATGATCTGCTGAAAGTATGGGCTTAGACGTAATCCACCATGGAGGGTGTAAGCTCCTAGCAGGCTTGTGAGAGCCACAGAATCGGGCTGGATTGGCATCGAGCCAACCAGACGCTCGGCATCAAGCAACCATCCAGCACGTCCAAGCATGTCCACCACGCAGCTGTAGTGCTGTGACGAAGGGTACAAGCCGCGATCCCTCCACATTGATGCCAACAAGTGGCATCCATGCTCCACCCACCCAGCATGGCTGCAAGCGAAGAGAATGCTGAGTAGGGTTACGGCGTTGGGTTGGATACCATGCAGCTCCATTGTGTACAGCAGCCACAGCGCGTATCCGCTGTCTCCACTCTCAGCATAAGCAGCGATCAAGGTGCTCCATGCCACCACATCCACGCAAGAGCACATGCCCATGCAGCGGTACGTGTCGAACACCCGCCGAGCATCGCCCAGCCGCCCGCACTTGGCATACGCATCCATGAGCGCCGAGGTAACCACGGGGTTAGCGTCAAACGCGTCCCACACAATCGCCTCCTCGAGCTTTCTTGTGCGGGCACCATCACACACTTTGCCACACGCCTCCATCGCTGCCACCACACTTATAGCCACCGGCTTGACGCCCAGCTGCAGCATTCTACTAAACAGTTCCAGGGCCTCCTCTCCCCCTGCTGCCGACATGATGGCGTTCCACGACTCAACCTCTAGGCTGTCCATCCCTCGAAACACTGCTCTCGCTCCCTCTGTGGCGCCGCACCTCGAGTACAAAGCCACCAGTGCCGTGCAAAGGAATGGATCCGATCCCCATCCCTGCTCGACGATGCGTGCGTGGATGTGCTTCCCCTGCTCTAGCCGCTCCACCCCACGCACAGCTTCCAGCGCGGCTAAGAGGCTCATCTCGCACGCCCTCACCCCTTCGAGATCCATGCCGTGGAAGCATTCCAGTGCTCGTGCCCACTCCCTCCGCTGGCAGTAGGCATCGATCATTGCAGTCCACGAGATGTCGTTCTTGCATGGCATGGAGTGAAAGACAGCCTTGGCTTGGTCAAGCCACCCGCATTTTCCATACATGCTGATGAGAGCGTTGCACACGGCAACGTCCACCCGGAGCTGGGTGCACGCGATCATTCCGTCAATCCTGTGGCCCTCGTCTGCATCCCCAGCGTGGCCGCAGGCAGTCAAGGCGCTGGTCAGCGTGAAGGCGTTGGGCTTGACACCTTCCAGGAGCATCTCCCGGAACAGTCTCACAGCCTGCTTGCACTCTCCATTCTCCGCCAGTGCCACCAGCATAATCGTCCACGAGTGCACGTTTCTCACAGTCATGCAGTCGAAGACACAGCAAGCCTCCGCTATACTGCCGCACTTGCCATACATCTCCACGAGCATGTTGAGGAGAAGCTTGTCGCGCTTGTAGACCTCACTGGTGGCAATGTGGGCGTGAATAAGCTTGCCATGCTCCACCTGGCGACACCGCTTGAGTAGTACCGTCAAGGCTGCAGCCGGGTCTTGCTCATCGTCTATTCTCTTGAGCCTCCTCTGAAGTTGGTCATACTCGGCGTGGTAGGCTTGACGGCCACCATCGTGCAGCTCCATCCGCTGCATATCCCCTCCTACGCTGTGTTATGCAGCCTGCGCCTTGACATGACAAGAAGCTGGATGTTTGGGTGCTGGAAACAGGCATCCATCTGCAAAACAAAATAGAGAGGTTGGTCATCCGACTACGGTGAGACGACAGAACCTTCTTCTTGGAGATGGTCTTTATCTCGAAGTGCTCTTTGCACATGGCCTGAAGCCTCTCAGTCAACTCGGGCGAACGAAATTCATAAGCCAGCTGCTCATGGACAAATAAATAGCTGTCCAGGATAGCAAATGATGGAAGGCTTACTTACCACGACTGTAGCCCTTGGTCCACAAAGGGAGAGAATCGTCGTGAGCAGAGGCTCCAGGTGCTGGGCGGCATACACCTGGAAAAAGGTGGCGGCAGCAAAAAGGGTGACTTGAGATGGATCAACAACTTACAACATCGGTGCCAATAATAAAGTCGAATGGTGGTTCCAATGCAGCTATGTGGCAGCTGTTTCCCCAATCTAGTTCGGCAACACTGACATTTCCTGACACATAATGCATGAGAAAGGAGGAACGAAGAAGTATTTGGCTTTATCACCGAGACCAACGGAATCGCTTGTGCTCGTGACCGAAGCCAGCTTGATCCTAGCCACATTTCTTTCCACGTTTTTGAGCAGGAGCGGCAACACCTCCACCTGATCAGTTAACACCACATTGCAGCCCATGAGTGCCATTGCTGCCAACACCCAACCGTTACAACTTAAGAGGCATCGATTCGGAAATTCACCTAGTCCTGCAACACCACACCCGGCTCCCAGCTCAATAGCGCGCTTCCCAGCCATCTGGACGCCATTCAGCTGCCCGCGATTGCAATTCTTTTCCTGAAAATCACACACACAACGGAACACATCGTCTAATCAGAGGCCGAAGCATTCTAGACCAACCAACCAGGAATTTGGCAAACACCACCGACGAGTCCCACACGGTTGTTCCAACGTGCTTGGAATTTGGATCCTGTCCAAGGACGGACTGCGTTTTCTACCTTCAGACTTGTCCACCAATACCCACCTGAGATATGAGCAGCGGGTGACCAAACAGCTCAATCCCAAGGGCGCTCGTGTGCTGGGTGTTGAACCTGCGGGCCTCCGGTGCTGTAAGTTCGAGCGCAAGCAATGCGATGCAACAACAACACACCTGTCCGCCAAAGAGGTGATTGTGTCGCCGGCCATACCTAGCTAACTCTGGATCTGTATCCAAAAAAGAATTTCATTTTTATTGCACTCACGCTGTCTATGGTGTATTACAAGCCACCAAAATTTCGTGGCTCGGTTGAACGAAACGCAACTCCGTCAGCTTCCATTGGCTGGTGCTGCTGCTGCTGCTGTTCCTGATGCTGCTGCTGGGGTGGTGGAAGTTGTTTTGCTACCATTAGCCGCCACCTAGAGATTGAAGAGATTGAAGAGAGTTAATCACAAGAAACAAAGGCGTCACCAAGCACTTGTACCTGCGCCGCTGCTGGATCCTTGGTGGAGCGAGACCACTTGAGCGCAGCGATGATGGCGTCCCCCCGGCTGCCAAGGCCCCTTCTCCCCACCAGCTTGACGCCTACCCTGCTGCATAGGTAGAGGAGTCGCTTTTTGTCACCCCCGCGAACTTCCCGCAGCTCCAGCGCCTGCTGACGCGTGATCATGGTGTAGAGGTGGAGCGGCGGGGGTTGCGGCTTGGGCTGCTCCGTGCTATCTCCCGGCCTCGCCTTGGTTTTGTTTCCAATCACCACCCGCAGCAAAGCGCAAGAGCTCGGATCCTGCGAGCTGGGATCGTACACCACCGCAAAGTTGCCGAAGTCGACGTCGGGCTCCCTGAAGATGTCCGACAACACCGTGGCATACGATTGGATGTCCTTGCGTGGCACCTGGACTGGTGAGCCCCTGGCCGCAGCCTGAGCTGCAATGTTACCAGCTTCCCTCAAGCCACTCAGAAAGGCTCCATGCATGGTGGCTGGGTAGCGTCGGGTAGTGGCTTCACCTGCGAAAAATAAGCGGCCTCCGACGCTCTCCGCCAGTATGTCGTAGTCTTCCCCGGACGCACCCACGGCTACGTTGGAGTATGACCCGAAGCAAAGAGGATCGCTCCCCCAGCGCGTGCACACCGTCTGAATCGGATCCGGAACCACCACCCCGCGGGGTTGATAGATACCTGCAGAAAAGTACCCGTGCATGGGTCAGAGCTCGAAACAACACCTTCCGTACCTCGAAGCACTCCCAGAACACGCTGGATAGCTTCCAGGGGCGGCATTCGCTCGAAGTTGATTGCAGCCTCGCCAGCCACCAGGGCAATGAGAAGAGGGCCACCAGACACAGCCGCGTAGCTGTAGAAGAGGAAAAACTCGCCCCTCCTGGCAGGCGTGTCGGTCAGCTGCCCGAAAGTGTCGAGCTCGGATCCCCAGAAGGCAACAGGGAAGAGCATGGCCACCTTGTTCAGCAGACCGAAGCCGAGCCTGTCCACCGCGTCGTACTTCCTGGGAGGGAGCTCCGGCTCAAAGGTGACGGACCTCTTCTTGAGCACTCCCAAAGGCACGGTGCACAGGGCCATGTCCGCCTCGAAGATCTGGTCCGCGGTGAGGACTTGGACGCCACTGCTGCCGTAGCGGATGGTGTGGACGGTCTTGCCGTAGAACACGGGCACGTCTTCCGCAAGGGCCGCAACCAGCCTCACGTTCCCACCCGGCACGAAGCAGTGGTCGCCACCCATCTCATACGGATCGTCCTGGTCCCAGTAGGCGAGCGAGAGATTGGAGAGCAGCCCGGCGTTGGCGTACTCAAGGTTGGCAAGGTGCCAGTCAAAGAGCTGCCTCTCCTGCGGGTCACGGGCCACGTCCCCCTGGTGCCTCAGGTGCTCCAGCGTCGTCCCCAGCGCAATGCTGTCCGACACCTTGTCCATCTCTTCCCTCCACTTGCTGGCCAGGTCCAGCAGCTTGTTGAACTGGCCTTCCACCTTGAGGTCGGCATCCTCGTTGACGGGAGCACCGCCGGGCTGGTAGAGCGGGCACTTGTCGCGAATCTTGTGAAGGGGGAGGCCCAGCTGCCTTGCAATCACCCCGAGCGGGTTGCCATGCATGCCGGTGACGACGCTGCCACCCAGGTCCGCCGCCGCAACCTGGCCTCCGCCTTCCATCCTCTTGGTGTACACCCTGCCCCCGGGTCGGTGCCTGCCTTCCACCACCACCACCTTGTGACCGAAGGCTCGAAGCTGGCGGGCCGCAGCCAGGCCGGCGAGGCCCGCGCCGACGATGACGACGGAGCACCTGGTGGCCTCGGCAGGGATGGCGGCCCGCATGGCCGGAGCCACCCCGAAGTTGATGTAGCCATACGACAGCAGGAAGGTGTAGGCCGCGGAGACGAGGCTCTTGTGCTGGCTCCGGATCGACTCCATCACCCTCTGCTCGCTCAGCCACGCGTTGACATTGTCCCGCCAGCGCGCAAGGATGTGGTTGCGCACAATCACGTAGTTGGCCTGCTCCTCGCCACCCAGCGTCGCCACCACGCCCGCCTCAATCTCCTCCTCCGTCAGCGACTCCCTGGGGAAGCCTATTGCAGCTCCAATCATCGCCTCCACATCCACCTCTTTGTCCACGTCCACGGGCCGCTTCTTCTTCCTGAGCGCTCCCAGCTGCTTCTCAAACATCTGGTCGATGAGAGTCTCGTCGTAGCTCCGGTTCTTGGCCTGCTGCCGGAGGGCTCGGATGCTCTTACCTCGGCCCGCCAGCCGGCTCCCAGCCTCGTCGATGGCTTCCTCCAGGAGCACATCCCTCGCCTGCCGCCGCCTCTTCCGCCTGCCGTTGTTGCTCGTCTCCCCGGCGGCAGCCGGAGGAGGAATGGGCGCCTCCATGTCTCACCCCAAGGAAGAAGACGCCATTTTGCTAGACTTTAGGGCAAGGTGGAGAATTTACATAACTAAGAGGTTATGTAATGGCGCATGTCCCAACGCCCGACTTTAGCTCAGTTGGTAGAGCGGAGGACTGTAGTGCTCTCAGCTATCCTTAGGTCGCTGGTTCGATTCCGGCAAGTCGGATCTTCTTACGAAGCTTATTCTCTTTTTCCCTTCTTTTTAAGCAAGGTCGGTGGATCTCCTCTTGTTCCTAGCTAGGGATTTTTGCTCTTTCGGCGATTATGGGTCGGTATGTGTATGTGATCCCGCTGCCCATTGTGGCCATCTTCATCCTTTTGTTGGCGCTCTTGTGCTACTACTGCGGGAAAAGGGGTAGAAGCATGCAGGCTCCAGCAGCGGTCGGCTACCCAATTCCTCCACCCGGCCAGCCCGGCTACCCGCCTCCTCCTCCCAAGGTGTGATCGTCCTCAATGTCAATGTTTCTTCTGTGATGTATAGAACCGAGAAAGATTGTATGGAAGCGAGTTAAATCGATCCTTTTACGTTTTCGACTTACCAGTCTCTCGTGATCTCCGATAACCTCTTCCATGACTTGCTCCAGGCTCTGGCCAGCGGTTTTTGGCACCAGCGCCGCGAATGCGGTGTCCTCCAACCCTGGCGACAGCGTGTAAGTTGACGGGCTTAAAGTAGGAATGCGCACCTATTCCGGGGAAGCTTTGCACAATGGTCACCACCTCTTGGCCCGTCATGCCCGACATGAAGCAAATGCGTGGCATCCTGCCTGCGGTACCAGGAGGGGGGTTGCTCACGTTGGATGGACGCTGCATGCACTCCCACAGCGTCTCGCGCAGCATGTCCTCGCAGCACACAATCACCTTGACGATGGCCTCCGCACCCATGCCCTTGAGGTATTCGATCACCTGATCACAATCGATCTCGATCCATCCATCCACCGACAGGAGAAAGAGGCTGCCGCGCATACCTTGGGAATCTCGTGATTGTCAAATCCCACCAAGAGCATTGCCTTTCAACACTCGGCTGTTGGACTTGAGATGTCAAAGCAAAACAATGGCGTACTTACTGTAGGCCCGTAGCTTGGATCATCGTCGTTTATAGCGACGAATTTGGGGTCGTCCCGGATCTCGGCAGGAACATTGTCTGCGCTCATCTTGCTCATCTTGAATTATGTATGTTACCTAGTGTTTACCTTGAGAGGATGCTCGCAGCAACCCAAGTGGGTGTTGGGGAGCGGCGACGCAGAGCTCGGAGTTCCGATTGCATTTCCGAAGCAGCAGCCCGGGTGTGGCTAAAGTCCTGCTTGATGTAACACCCAAGAATGACGCGAGTGAGGCCACAGCCGCCATAGCCGCAGTCAAGAAGTAAGCACAAAGAGAAATTAAGTGTTTAATTTACAGTAGCATGTTTGTTTGCTTCAAAGGAAACACAACGAGAAGAAAAACTACCACCTATACATTCTAGTCTGTTCTAATGCGCTTTATGTCCGTGTCTGGGACACTGGCATCTCCCATCTGCCCCACCAACACCTGTACAAAACACGAACGAATAGTAAGATCAATTCAACTGAAAACCAGAGAGAGTCTCACAGCTTCATCTGGAACCACAGCATATCTCTCGGATGGCGATATCCAATTTGCAACGCCACTTCCTGCCAGCCAACAAAAGAAGATGAAAAAGGAGAGGAGATCTCTAGCAAAGTACCGGTTACAGCCGGCTCCGGTGATTTCTCCAGGCCCTCACAGGCCTTGCCGTCGGCACTGAGAGCTTGGATGCCTTTAGGTGCGCTTCTGCAACTCGTAGGTGCGATGTTGTAAGCGGCCGCCGGACTTTACAAAGGTTGTAAGCTCCTTACCTGTCCACAGCGTCTCCGTGTCCCAATTGCCCGCTTGTTCCTCGCCCCCAGGAATACACATTGTTCTTGTCAGTCACCGCGACGGTGTGTCTCCAACCACACGAGACTTGCACCACTCTCTGCAACCACAACGCTGGCGTCGGTTAGCACACCGAAAATGGATGCAGAGGTACCTGGTGCTGTCCTGGAATGGAAATCAATTGCGGGCTGGTGTGATCATCAACATCCCCGCTACCAACTTGACCAAACTGCATGTGGCCACACTTTGCCTGGTCAGCCATTGCAACTAAGTGCTATGACTTGCCTTGTTCCACCCCCATCCGTAAAGCTTGCCCGCTTCCGTTAGAGCAACGGTGTGCCTCCAGCCTCCGGACACCTACACGCAGCAGAAGCGCGTGCAATGAACGACATGTAACATGCTCGCCAACCTGTGTGATGTTGAACTCCGCCAGGGCTGCAACCTGGTGTGGTAAGAGATGGTCCGCATAGTCGCCATGCCCGAGCTGCCCATACTTGCTCCAGCCATACGTGTAGAGCTTGCCGGACTGGGACACGGCGATGGTGTGCCTCCACCCGCACGCCACCATGCACATCTTTTCATCCTGTCACCACCAAGTCAGACCATATACAATGTGCATCAATCGGGCTCTAAGAAGAGAATGACCCCAACAGCGGGCACTTCAGCCGGTAGCATCCGATCGCCCCGATCGCCCAGGCCTAGATTTCCGTAGCGCCCCCACCCCCAGCCGTAGAGCTTGCCGCCATCGGTCACAGCTGCCGTGTGCTCCGCCCCTGCTGCGAGCATCTTGACGGACACCCCCTGCGCGCATGCACATGCCCACGAACGTCAAGCAAAGGTATACGTATGACGGACCTCGAAAGCTAGTAGCTTGTGCGGGACGAGCGAGTCGTCGGTATCTCCCAGCCCGAGCTGACCATTCTGGTTCCGGCCCCAGCTACGCAGGTAGACAGAGCGGTTGATAAAAGCACGAGCAGGAATGCACGAGAGGAAATGCACCTGTAGACTTCTCCATCCGCGGTCACCGCCAGGCAATGGCTGTCGCCGCAAGCGATTTGCCTGATCTCGAGGCCCTGCAGCGCCTTGATTGGATGGGGTACGAAGAGATCGCTCGAGTTGCCATGGCCGAGCCTCCCAAAGTCGCCCCTGGTATGTATGAGCCATGACAAGAAGACGAGTGAGAGGTGTGTGTGACGAGAGAGAACAAGACGGTAGCAGTACCAGCCCCAGCTGTAGATGGTGAGCCTGGTTGCAGAGTAGGCGGTGGTGTGATCCGCGCCGCACGCCACAAGCGAGATCTCGCAGTCGTTGAGCGCACCGATGATCCGCGGCAAGTGCCGATCCTCCGCATCTCCGTGACCCAGCTGCCCGTCCTCGCCCCGCCCAAACGAGCACACCACTTGGCCAGCTGCAGCCCACAGCGTGACAGTCTAGACACGAGAGATGCTTGCTTGCTTGCTTACACAGGAGGGCTACGGTGTGGCTGGCTCCAGCCGACACCAGCAGCACCTTGCGCTCCCCGGCCATTCCAATCGCGCCGCCCTCGCCCTCGTTACAATCACTTGCTCCTCATTTCACGCTCGCTCGCTCGCTCGAGGAAGAGGAAGCTACTCGCCATCCATCCAGGGGCGTGCGCACAAGCATATACAAGCAGTCACGCCTTGACGCATTCACAGAGAAGAATGAAAATGTACCTCGTCATACAATGAAGAGCGCGAGCGGCCAAGGTCAGGGCTCGAGTGTGTGGCCAGTGGCCAGCCTGAGCCTTTTGGAAGCCCTTTTGTCGCTTTCACACGCTCCTCTCTCGCCCATGCTCAATGTATAATGTAGCAACGATATCTTTAATCCCCGCAGGTCGAGACGGCCGGACTTTTGTTTCCCCTGCTTCAATCGCAATCAGACGCATGGCAGGATTACCGTACCCTTTCCCCACGACTTTGCGCTTGATCCTGTGCTCGATTCGAGATCATCTCTATAGAGAGCTTTATATTTTATTTGATCTCTCCGCGACCCGCGACGAAGTTCTTCATCGCGCCGGAAGCTGAATCGTCCATGCATGCATACATGCATGCCATGCAGGGCGCAGCACCACGTGACTGATCACTACTCCTCGCGAATCCAGTGCAAAAAACGCTATACAAGATAAAGGCTGTTACGTAAAGATTAAAAAACTCCACACACCCACTGCTGTTGCCTGCTGCTTGGTCCTCTTGTCATGTTCATGTTATAAATGGCTCTTGGCCTTGCGAAAGCGCTCCTTCCCCCACCGCCTTGCCTGCTAACGCAAAACTCATGAGACGAGGCCTTCCACTTTGAAATACACATACCTGTCACGGCCCGCCCAAGCTCCCCTTCCTCAAACTCCACCACAGTGCAGTAGCCATCCTGTGACGAGACAACCAGGAACTTGGCGTCATGAGACCTGCGGCGGGGGTGAGAGCCCGGTTGTAGGAGGGAACGAAGCCAGAAGAGTTTACCAGGCAAGATCGGTGATGGCACGGTAGTGAATGCCTCCTAGAAAGGCTGTCGGGTTGAGCATCTGCGTGTTATAGATAGCAACAGAGTTGAGTGTCGCTATAGCAAAGACAAGCCGGTGCGGTAGATTGAAAACGCGGTTCTCTGAACAAAAGACAATGACATTATGAGATGATGGCACAAGAAACCAACCAGTGTTTCCCTCGAGAGCAAACTTGACGGGGCAGAAGGACGTGGCCACCACCGCTTTACTAGCTCCAGGGAAATGAAGAGCTGGCCTAGATATTGTTGCTGCAGGTCTCAGTGCGAAAATCCCAAGACACATGAATCTAAGTCACCTGGACAGGTCTCTCCTTGAAAAAGCGAATGCTGCGTTGACGCTGCCCTTGTGCAGACCTGGAAACAAAAGGCAAAACATCAAAACAGGTCTAATGTGACAAACAGCAATTTCACCCGCAGGAACAAGTAAAAAGGAGCCGTCGGGGGACCATGCCAGCCTGCGGAAAAAGGATGGCATGCTCTCATCCGCGAACAAGTGGCATTTCTGCAAGGTAGCCAGGGAAGTCCAACATCTCATTATCAAACCAACACGCCTACCTTGATGTCATCTCCGCTGCTGTCCCCAGTGGGAAATTCCGCTTTCGAAATAACACGTTGACAAGTAAACGCCTTTGTCCCCGGTGTTTGTGATCGGGAATATATCCTGCATGTCCTGTCCGAGCTCATGGACACCAGGTAGTAGCCAATCGGATCCCACGCAACCCCTTGTACGTAGTGTGCGTGATCCTTGATAACTTGCAGGGGTTCATCTGCAAGCAGCGGAGCTAGCAAACAACATAATCAAGCCTCAGTACGTACACTTGGTCATGTCCCAGACAACGCAGGAGTTGTCCACAGATCCAGACGCAAGCATCAATCCATCGGCTGACCAGCCCAAGTCGTGCACGTCGTTCAAGTGGGACCTGGAGGCTCGCTCTGCATCACGTGATGAAAAAAAGCAAAGCCTACCGTAATGCCTTGACCACCTTCCAGACCGTAGCACCATCCTTGTTTTCTGTGAGCCTCCACAACGCGAGCTCTCCTTCTATAACGGATCTCCAGTTAGCAAAGGGAAAGAGTTACAAGGAAAGCTTACCGCCGGCACCGGAAGCAAGGGCGTCACCTGCGTAGGGAGTTAACCGGAGAGAGATGGAGAGAAGAAAAAGGACCTAAGACCCACCAGAGGGTGAGAAGCGGACAGCATTGACAGCAGCTGAATGGTGCGACAAGCTCGCCTCAAATGTGACTTTGGTAAGAGCCTTGCCATCCACAGACGCGAGTAACCAGAGCTGCAAACAGGAAGCCGAGAGCTTGAGCGAGAGAGCAAAGAGAAATGACTGATACTTTGATATCCTTGTCGGCGCCACAAGTGGCGAGCAAACCAGAGACCGGGTGGAAGTCGGCAGAGAGCACTGGGTCACAGCCGTGCCAGGCAATCTGCACAGTGCCCGCCTTCATCTTGCAGACACCGAAAACCAAAAACCCTCGCTCTCTGCTGGCGGGAAATATAAGAGTATTTGTGGTTTACACGTTCCGCCTGGGCTTCTTGTTCAAAGGCCTTCCAGGAACGGCTTGGGACCTGTGTCGCTCGCGAATCTCTTCTCGCCTTCTTTTCTTGCTCTCTTCCTCCTCTTTTGCCTTTTGAGCAGTGTATGCCTCCTTCTTCTTTCGTTGTTCCAGCTTCCTTTTCTTTGCCTACAACCGAGACGTTGAACGTCTTGAAACTTGTGGGACGGTTATAAGACTTACCTTGTCATTTTGAATGGTTGTGAGCTGTTGCACCAAAGACACAACCTTCCGCTCGTTTGGTTCTAGCACCACAGCACGCGCTGACTCCAAGACTGGTTTTTTACGTTTGGCTGAAAGCTTCGGCTTGGATTTGAAAGGGAGTGCAGCTTGCAGAGCCTTCGGAATTTGAAGTGGATTAAAACGTCGGGGTTGCCTCTCAGTCGGCTGCAACACATGTAAGGGCCACAGTACGAAAGATTATACCAACACTTACTCTGTAGAGAGAGTTTTTGTTTACGGGAACGGAAACATTTTGCTCGCTTCGAAGTTCAGCAACCGTTTTCATACCCTTCCACACGGTATCTCGTGACTGCAGTAGCGTCGTCACTGGACTAAAAAACCGGGGAATATCAACTTTCGTCCACGTCCGCAAAAACACGATGTCACTCATCAAAATCTTGTCTTCAAAGGTACACCTCACGGAACCTTCCTTGCCGCTTCCAGCTTTAACCGCCTGGTTGAAACACCGTTACATTCTGGAACCAGCAAACTTAAATTTCTTACCTTCTTGATCTGGCCACGAATTCCACTTACAGTCCGCACGGAGGCACCCTCAAACCGAGCGACTTCCAACTCCGATGTAAACATATCACGGATGAAGGCTGTTTTCTTGTAGATTTTGTAAGGATAACCAACGAGCTTCAGCTTCTTGACAATTTGCACGGACTGGTCCCATTCTAAGACAACTCCCGTCCCAGTTATACGAAATAATGGCTGCAATATGAAAGCACGAAGTAAAAATCAAGATTGTATATGTATGTGTATGTATGTACCTGGGAGTTTGAGAGGTTCTGAAAGGTGACAATGCCAGTGTTTGGAGGCGCAAGGGGTCCCCAAAAGCTTGCAATACAGTGCATGTGTTCTGGTGTGTACTTCAGCATCCGATGACGTCCATTCCGGTCTTCAAGGGAATACACTGGTAGCGTCTGATATCGCCGCCACCCAGCAGACACAACCAAGGGATCCCGATTCTTCAACACCTTCTTGTGCCACCTATGTTTTTTCAATCGGACCTGCACGAATAGAAAACTTTAACTAAAGACTTAAAAGCGTTTCCCTTTACCTGCATAAACCCGGCGCTCTCTTCAGATTTGCTGATGCCGCCGACAAGAATTGGATGCCGAGCATCAAAATGATGCACGAGCTCATAAGGCATTCCGCGGAACTCTACTCTCAAGTACGTTCCCACAGAAAACCCCTCCATCTCTATACGTGTGGCGGCATCAATATCCTGCAGCTCCGCAGCGTTTCTTTGCTTTTGCAACTCCATATCTTCTTTCAGCTGCACATGATAAACTCAGTTAACACTACAATTCATACCTTAGGATACCGAACCTTGTCAAAGTAATCCTTTTCCTTCGGACCTTCCACCTCCTTGTTCTCCTCGTCTAAGCTCCCATCATATGTGCTTCGAAGTCAGGAAATGACACAATATCAATGCAGAAATGAAACAGAAAAGGATATTTAGCATCAAATGCAGCTCTGAGAGCAAGTTTCTTCAGCCTCCGTTCAGCAGCCTCGTGATTTTCTGCGGCACCGTGTTGTTCACCAGTCTCCAAATCTTCAAAGTCGCCGTACACCGTACCATCTTCCTCCACCTCACCCTTTTGTCGTTGTGACGCCTTGTTCCAGTCACCCGTCACGAACCGGTCACGAATGGCTTCAATAACTTCTTGGTTATGCCAGTCGTCCACTTCTAATGTGAGCCTTGAACAATCCTCCAAGTCTATGTTCTGGGCATTAGCAGCTACCGTGTCCTGAAGAGAGGAAAGCTTTAAGTCCAAAAAAAGAGAGATTAAAAACAGAGAAAGGAACCTTGGAAGCCTGCCGTTTTGGCTTAAACAGTTCCTCGTCGCTATCTGAGATATCTTCTTGGAAGTCTTTATCTTTTGATGAAGCCTCCACATGCCCATACACAACTTGCATCAGATTTACGTTGCTTTTGGATGCTCCAACGCGGCTCATCAAGCCTTGTTTCCATTGCAAAGCATTTCCCATCTCCACTGTTTAGCCACAGAAATCTTGTCAGCAGTCCCTACTTTGGATAACAACGCTTACCATCTTCGTTCTCTTCATTTTCTTGTTCTTCTTCTCCTTCTTCTCCTTCTACTTCTCCTCCTTCTTCTTCTCCTTCTCCTTCTCCATGTACAATACGTTCTTCGTCACCATTTCCCTCTCCTGTAATATCGTCTTCGCTACTATCCCCATTGTTCACGTCCTCAGGTCCCTGAATGACGCTACGTAAAACGTGGATTGGTCAAATTATGCAAAGCAAACCTCGGCGGCGCCCTCTTCATCGGCCTCATTTGGAAACATGACGCGTCTTCTCAGTCTCCCATCTTCTGAAACAGTAGCCATCGCATCATCTTTTTCAGGCCCAGATTCATCAGATTCATCCGCTTCCGAGTCAGAGGCGCTTTGAATGGCGCTACTTTTGAAAAATTGGATAAAGCTTTGCTGCAGCTTTTCATCAATTGAATACTTTGATTGTTGCAGTGACTTCACCATCGTCTCGCCTACGTCTCCATCTTTTCCTGGTGCCTTCACTCGTCAGTAAAGGAAGTAAAGGCATGGTTCTTACCTTGTGTTTTTTCTGCATTCTCACAGTTTTTAGAAAACTGCAGTTGATGGTCGCTAATGTTTATATAAACAGCATCCTTATCGTACAGCATGTCTCCAACATCTGCCATGGGTGCGTACAAAAGCTTTTCCTTTTCGCGAAGGCCACGTTTCTTTGCTGCAGAAGGCAGAGGACATGGGTCCGGCAGTAGAGTAACAGCGGACATACTACAATCTCCAACACCAGCTATATGGACCTGCATCAAATAAATGTGTCAGTAAAAATTACTTTCCAGGCAAAACATTGACACCTTCATGGTTTTCTTCAAATTGGTTCCACGGAGATAGCCATAGATAGTTACATTCCTGTCGCACTTTGGATTCGCGTCAACATCTTCTGGGGCTGTAACATCTTCAAAACGGTCAGCAATCATGTAGGGGTGAGTAGTCCTCCACTGTAATGGCCGGAACTTCGCCACAGATATGAACCTCGCAAGATTATGGATCTCACGCTTGGAGTATCTACAAAGAGCAAAGCAAAACAAAACGTTCAGTGCTCCCCACTGAAAATGACGAAAAGAAAAAGACTAACTTTCCATGAATAAGCCCTGAGAGGTAAAAGAGTTTCGCACCATCGTAAATCTCCGTCCAAAATCTGCTCTTCAACTGCTTTTTCGTCTTTCTCAACGCCTTGACATCCTTGAACTTGTCTAAGTGCGTCAACACGCCCATAACTTTTGGAAAGCCATGAACTTGTAGTAAGTTGAGAAACTCGAAGGTTTCCTGCATCAAATAATGTTAGCCAGCCTAGGGGCTTGAACTCGCAGGCTCACCATCTCGAAACCATAGCTGCCATCGATGAGTAGCAGAACAAGGTCCGCAAACTTGGCAGCGTCGATCATCGCATTGAGATCGTTGGCACACTCGATAAACTGCAGACGCCGGTGTTTTCCTGCACCAAGACAAAGACACACCGTGAGCCGGAGTGGCGCGACGAAACGAGAGCAAAAGGCACACCAGCGATGATAGTGATCGGGCCACTGATGTTGGAGAGGCTGTGCTTGGTGTAGTGCTTGACGAGACACTGTACGAGCAAAGACTTTCCAACCTGGAGAAAGTATGAGCGAAGTGAGCGTGCAAAGTTATCAGAGTCACCTGTGGGGGGCCTTGCACCACAATGACGAATGGGGGCGGCTCGCCAGTGGCGCGGTCCAGGATTGGGACATGGAGCTTGCGCTGCTGCCGCTCCGCCGAGACCGCCTGCTGCCGCTTTGCTCTCACGGCAGATCGGAATGTGAAGGCCTGGGAGAGGCAGCGGCATGTCAAGCAAGCGCGTAGCAATGCGTTCTACTGACCTTGGGATTGGACTGCTTGGTGGAGGGGCCGCGATCATTCTTCTTCTTCTTGAGCTTGCTGCCAGCGGCAGACGCCCCCGCCCTGGATGCCCTGTGCTGCTTGTGCGCGGCCTCCTCGTCCGCCATCCCCAAGTAACCCTAAACCCTAAACCTCCTCCATTTTTTGTGTGTTGTGTGGTGTGGCTTGCTCGCGGCCATGGCGGTTGCCGGCTCGCTGCTGTGCACGCGATTGCTGCTGGTGAGGCGGAGGCGGATGTGCGCCATGGCAAGCGATGCGAGCGAGGCGATTGAAAGGGCCCCGGTGGACAAGAGCCTGGCAGCGCCGCCGCCCAGGACGAAAGATCCCCTGCTCACCATGACCAACTTCAAGAAGGTGCTGGCCAGCAAAGGTACAAACGCTTGCTACGTAGCGTGGAGCTTGAGCTTTGGCGCTTGTTAGGAACGCAGGGCCGATTACAGACGTGGACCACTATGCACGCCTCCAAGTCCCGTGGCAAGCACCCACGTCTCAGGTAACCGAGCCTTGCGTTCCGATAGCTAACTCGTGCATTGCCCGTTTCAGATTGCTGCTGCTTTCAAGGAGCGAGTGGACGAAGTGATGGCTCTCAAGGAAGACGGCTGGAGCGACGATGCAATTCGCGATCAGCTGCAACAGCTCCAGGTGAGCTACACGTCGTCGCTCACCAGCACTACACTCACACAATGCAGGGCTCGTGTTGTAGCAATCCTTTGACGTATTAACCTCGGAGCGGCAGCGGAGGCTGTATGACTGGAGCATTCTCCAGGAGAAGAACAAGAACAAACGCTACGTCTGGCCTTACGAGGCGGACATCACCCAGAAGTACAGCCTCCCGGATCCACCTGTGGTATGCCAGCGTCCTCACTTTCCCGCCAGCTCTTTACAAATCGTGCAATGCAGGACGAGGAGGACATGGATGCAATCAGAAAGGTGGGCTACTTCTTCCTGGGATGGTTCGTCCTTTCCATCTTCCTCGGTGTCTTTCTCCACTAGCTACGAATCGTGTAATCTTGTGTATTTATCTATCTCGCCCCGACATGGAACTGGTAACTTATGGTGCTCGCGTCAATACCTGGACACCGTCGCCTGTGACGAGCAGGGTGTGCTCGAACTGCGCAGAAAGGCTGCCGTCGACCGTCACCGCGGTCCAGTTGTCCGGCCAGATCAGGTCGTCCGGCTTCCCCATTGTCAGCATTGGCTCTGGAACAAGAGAGTCGGAGGATGAAACGAGATCAACGTGAGCACTCTCACCAATCGTGAACGTTTGACCAATCTGCATGCGACCAGGTTCATTATTTCCTGTAAAGCCAGGCACCAACGCTTCGGTGTTAGAGCTGGATTGCGACACTCTCCTTCCTTACGGAAATGCAGGATGGAGGGAGCACAATGGAATATGGTGCCGATTCCATGCCCAACAAATCGCTTCACCACCCCGTACTTGAACTTATCAGCAACATCACTGGTGGCGAGCGACAAAAGCAAGAGACAAAAAGGATGAAAACACGATAACAAAGCAAAAGAAAGGCCTCACTGGATGGTCCTCCCGATCTTTTTGAATTCCACGCCTGGGCCACAAACTGCGATTGCCTTGTCCAGGGCCTCGCGAGTCACCTGGCTATGCACAAAACTCAGCAACCAGCCACACAAAAATTTCTCTTTCCTCCGCACCTCTACCAGCCGCTTGGCCTCGTCACTGACGGTGCCGCAAAGGAAAGTTGCGGATGTGTCCCCGTGATATCCCTGAAACAAAACCGTGTGAGATTGGCACCTCTGTGGCTTACATACATTCAGATAGACAGTCACGTCGATGTTTACAATGTCGCCGTCCTGGTGTGGTCGAGGATTCTTACTTAGTCTGGGACTTAACTTGTGTTACCTGAAGCGGACGAGAATCGGGTATACCGTGGCAGATGCATTCGTTCACGGACGTGCACACGCTCTTCGGAAACCCACCGTATCCGAGAGGCGATGGATATGCACCCGCTTCAACAATCATCTTGTGCACTGCCTTGTCGATCTCGTCCGTCGTTACACCTGGCTGCACCACAATCAGGCAGTCAAAGCGCCGAAACACTTTGCGTTGGAGCCTTTCGTACCTTGATGAGGCTACCAGCAAAGTCGCGAACTCGGGCAGCTAGCTCCCCTGCGGCTCGCATTCTCGCCACACCACTCTCGTCGTGGACTTGCGGCTCCATGCTGAAAGCAGGCGCTGCGGCTGAACCAACATACGGTGGCCTGGGGATGTCTGCCGGAACGCTGAGCGGAGGGGACACTCTTCCAGGCTTCAACTTCAAGTGCTTGCCATGCGGCTGTTCGCCTTGCCTGGAGAAAACGAACCACACGGATGGATTACAAACAATGCGCTGCAACTTGCAACTTGCACCCAACCTTTTCTGGAGCAGCAGCTCTGCAAATCCCGATTTCTTCCTGGCATAAACCAACGTCCTTGCTGCAACCAATGATAGGCTTACTTGCGAGGAGCAACGGAAGACTCTAGCCTGCTCACCTGAGCCATGCGCTTGCCGTTCCGGGCTACAGGTTGCCCGCGGCCACGCTCTGCTGCCGCAATCCAGCAGAGGGCAACGCGACGACGATGCCATAGTCAATCAAACGACCTAAGCTTGTGAGAGAGAGATTGGGAGCTTTAATCCTTTTTTTTCGTTTTTCATTCCAGAGCTCGAACCAACAAACAAGCAAGAGATATGCAAAAGAGAGAGAGAGAGAGATAGAGCAGCTAGCATAGAAAGGACACAACAATCAAGTCAAGCAGCTCGCTCGCTGCAGATAGATCTAAGAGAGCTGGCCACAGTCGGCAATCACCACGGGCTTGCTCGTCTTGCCCGAGGAGCTGCCCACCTTCTCGATGTCCTTGACGATGTTGAGCCCCTCCACAACCTGGCCGAAGACGACGTGCTTGCCATCGAGCCAGGAGCAGGGCACGGTGCAGAGGAAGAACTGGGATCCGTTGGTGTTGGCCCCGGCGTTGGCCATGGACAGCACGCCCGCGCCCGTGTGCTTCTTGTTGAAGTTCTCGTCCGCGAACTTCATGCCGTAGATGGACTCGCCGCCCGTGCCGTTCCCGGCCGTGAAGTCGCCGCCCTGGCACATGAAGTCGGGGATGACGCGGTGGAACTTGGAGCCCTTGTAGTGCAGCGGCTTGCCGCTCTTGCCGATACCCTTCTCACCCGTGCACAGCGCGCGGAAGTTCTCCGCCGTCTTGGGCACAGTGTCTGCGTACAGCTCCATCACGATGCGCCCGGCGGGGCTACCGCCGATGGCGATGTCGAAGAAGACCTTGGGATTGGCAGCCATGGGAGCGGAGCGAAGATGAACAGCGCAAGAGCAAGGGAGTGAGAGAAAGACCTAGGAGGAGAGAGGAAAGCGCAAACAGCGATTTTTATTTATTTTCAGTCAGTCCTGCGCGGATCCGACGGCTGTGCTTCGGCTGGGCCAAGCAACGGCCCCGATAGCGCCGACGACTAGGGCAGCCAGGGCGCATATCTTTTGATACCACCTTGATCTTATGGGAATAGTTAGTGCTGCTGCGAGCGACGAATGAAGGGAGGGTGTGGATTGTGGGCCAATCCCTCCAGCACCAGCAGCCTGTCCAGCAGCTCCATCTTCTCCTGCTGCAGTGCCTTGACCTCGGACTGGGTGGACTCGAGCTCCTCCAGAAGTGCGCAGCTCTCCTCTTGCAGCACCCGCAGCTTGCGTTTCACCCCGCGCTGCTGCTGCTGCTGCTGCTGCTGCAACTCATGCTCCATAATCCTTGCGCTACTCGCCTCTCTCGCCTGAGGCCCGATCTCGCGCCATGGCCGCCTTGTGCTTGTCCACCAACTTGTCCACCGCCGCCTCCACCGCGTCCCTGCCGGTGACGAGCAGCTTGGCGATCACCTCCGGGTCCCTCTCGTGCCGCGCTTGCTCAAACTCCTGCCTCGCGCTCGCGCGCAACAGGTCCCGCCACAGAATGCCGTCCTCGTTGGGCCACACGAATGCCCTCGACGCGCGAAAGATGTCGCGGTAGAGCTCGATTGCCTCCCTGCGCGTGCTCGTCAGCCGTGCCCTCTCCGCCACCAAATCTTCGTCCTGCCGCTTCTTGGAAGACTTGGGAGCCAAGAACTTCTCAAACAAACCTTCCAGTGTGTCCGGCCCGAAAAACGGCAGCCCGCTCATCCCTCGTACAGGCACCAGCAGCGTTGCCGCCCTCCTCGCCATCGCCTTTCCATAGACCTAGCTTTTAATTACTGCACACTATACCCTTTCTAAAGGGGACCGGCCATGGCCAGATTCCTGCTGCTCCTCCTCGCGTTGCTGCTGCTCTTGGCGGGGGGCAGCGCCACCAACATCTCTTACGACCACAGAGCTATCATCATCGGCGGGCAGCGCAGGATTCTCATCTCCGGATGCCTTCACTACCCCCGCGCTTCTCCCCAGGTTCTCTACATTCTTGCCTGCTGCACGCGCGAGCTCCTTTTGTTCATGCGCTCTCGTGCTTGCAGATGTGGCCGGCCCTGATCCGCAACGCCAAGGAGGGCGGCCTCGACATGATCGACACGTACGTCTTCTGGGATGGTCATGAGCCCTCGCCCGGAATCGTAAGTGGAAACAAAGCATTCATCAACTCGACATGTGCTTGTGACAGTATAATTTCCAAGGCCGCTACGATCTCATCCGCTTCCTCAAGCTGGTGCACCAAGCTGGCCTCTACGTCAACCTCAGAATCGGACCTTATGTCTGTGCGGAATGGAACTTCGGGTACGCTTCAAGCTCTCTTGCTTTCTAGCTAATCCTGTTTGTCTTCTCTTCTTTTCCTGCAGCGGCTTCCCGGCTTGGCTGCTGAAATTGCCTGGCATTCAGTTTAGAACACATAATAGAGCTTTCGAGGTTGACGTCGTTGCCTGTCAACGAAAGCCGTGCCTCTGAATAACAAGTCGCGTGGTGGCTGTGCGCAGGACAAGATGGAGGAGTTTGTGAGGAAGATTGTGGACATGGTGAAATCGGAGCAACTGTTTGCATCCCAGGGCGGTCCAGTTCTATTCTCTCAGGTGACTGGCACTTCTTTTCTTGATGCTAAAACCTTTGATATTCGGGCTGGCAGATTGAGAATGAATATGGGAATGTTCAAGGGTCTTATGGAACCAATGGAAAGACTTATATGCTTTGGGCGGCACGAATGGCCAAAGACTTAGAAACAGGTGTTCCCTGGATAATGTGCAAGCAGCCCGATGCTCCGGATTACATTGTGAGTGATGGTCACTCTGCATTCTTTTGTGGCACTCACAGACTCTTTTCTGTTTGTGCTGAAGATAAACACATGCAACGGGTATTATTGTGATGGCTGGAAGCCGAACTCCAGAGACAAGCCAGCAATGTGGACGGAAAACTGGAGTGGCTGGTTTGTTGTTCTTCATTCTATCCGCCATCTGATGTCTCCTTTCCAGGTATCAATTATGGGGCGAGGCTGCTCCCTATAGAACTGTTGAAGATGTGGCCTTTGCGGTGGCCCGTTTCTTCCAGAGAGGAGGTGTTGCTCAAAACTACTATATGGTACGTATGCTGCACGATCTTGAGCAACATTTACTCATGCCAGAGAGATGCCAGTACTTCGGAGGTACTAACTTTGGTCGAACATCTGGAGGCCCCTTCATTACCACTAGTTACGACTACGATGCGCCACTTGATGAGTTTGGTACATGCATGCCTACTACTCGTCGAGGAAATGCTTACTTCTTATTCCTTACAGGAATGCTTAGACAGCCAAAGTGGGGTCACCTAAAGGAGTTACATGCGGCCCTTAAGCTTTGTGAGACTGCATTGACCTCTAATGATCCACTCTATTACACCTTGGGCCGCATGCAGGAGGTATAGCCATCTCCATTGTACCGGAGTTTCCATAATTCCAGATGGTACAGGCTCACGTCTACTCGGATGGCAGCCTTGAAGCAAATTTCTCAAACTTAGCCACCCCGTGCGCAGCATTCTTGGCCAACATTGACACCTCCAGTGCCTCTGTCAAGTTTGGTGGAAATGTTTATAATTTGCCTCCATGGTCTGTCAGTATTCTTCCCGACTGTCGCAACGTGGTGTTCAACACTGCGCAGGTTTCTCGGAGGGTTTTCTTGTGTTTATTATGCTCATAGGATCACTTTTGCAGGTTTCAGCTCAAACGTCTGTAACGAAAATGGTAGCTGTGCAGAAACCTTCTTTAATTGAAGAGGTATCTGGCTCATATACTCCTGGATTGGTCGAGCAACTGGCTTGGGAATGGTTTCAAGAGCCTGTCGGAGGTTCTGGAATCAACAAGATTCTCGCTCATGCATTGCTTGAGCAAATAAGTACGACAAATGACTCTACAGATTACTTGTGGTACTCTACGAGGTACAAAGTGCTTTTTTCACGTCCACTTTTTCGAAGCTCTTGTTCCGTGCTAGGTTTGAAATCTCGGATCAGGAGCTAAAGGGAGGAGATCCTGTTCTTGTAATCACGAGCATGCGGGATATGGTACACATTTTTGTCAACGGAGAGTTTGCAGGTTGGCTGTAGTTTCTCGAACTTCACAATCTCATTCATGAAGCAGGGAGCACCAGTACCCTGAAATCGGGTGGACTATATGCAAGAGTCCAACAGCCTATTCATTTGAAAGCAGGAGTTAATCATCTGGCGATTCTCAGTGCAACTGTGGGCTTACAGGTGGAAAGTATAGTTGCTAGCCAGCTACCATGTGACATAAGTAGTACTTTGCATGTAGAACTACGGCGCTCACTTGGAAACCCACGGAGCAGGCATCACCGGGTCTGTTTGGATACAAGGGCTTTCAACGGGGACACGTAACTTGACTTCAGCACTGTGGCTACATCAGGTTTGCTAAGCTAAGGTTTGCTCCAAAATATAACTACAATTTACGAAGTGCAGGTTGGTCTAAACGGAGAGCATGATGCGATTACATGGTCCTCGACAACCTCATTACCTTTTTTTCAGCCTTTGGTGTGGTACAAGGTACAACAATTTCCATGCTCGGTTTCGCCATTACAAGAAACATCACATTTCCAGGCAAACTTCAACATACCCGACGGTGATGATCCTGTTGCCATCCATCTGGGTAGCATGGGCAAAGGCCAAGCTTGGGTGAATGGACACAGCCTGGGCAGGTTCTGGCCCGCCATCACTGCCCCCTCGACCGGGTGTTCAGACAGATGTGATTACCGTGGAACATATTATAGCTCAAAATGCCTTTCTGGCTGTGGACTTCCATCGCAAGAGTGGTACGTCGACTGGTCGTCGATTTTTGTTGTTGAAACTTGCCAGCTCACTTTCTCCTCTCTTTGTTTACAAGGTATCACGTTCCACGAGAGTGGCTGGTAAACGAGAAGAATACACTGGTTTTACTGGAAGAGATTGGAGGGAACGTTAGCGGTGTCTCATTTGCATCAAGAGTAGTCGACAGAGTGTGCGCTCAAGTTTCAGAGTACAGCTTGCCACCTGTTGCACAATTCTCATCTCTGCCAGAGCTCGGGCTAAGCTGCTCTCCAGGCCAATTCATTTCCTCCATTTTCTTCGCCAGCTTTGGAAATCCGAAGGGTCGATGTGGGGCCTTCCAGAAAGGGAGCTGCCACGCTTTGGAATCTGAAACCATTGTGGAGAAGGTAATAAAGAAAGCCTGTCCTTTGTTTGCACATAGCAACTATAACTATTCCTTGCGCAGGCTTGCATTGGTAGACAGAGCTGTTCCTTTGAGATATTCTGGAAGAATTTTGGAACAGATCCTTGTCCAGGGAAAGCAAAAACTTTAGCTGTGGAGGCAGCCTGTACTGAAGCTGTAGATTCCGCACCTACACTTGTACGTACGTGATACCATTTCTTGTATGATGTTCTCGATCGAGAGAGCCTGCTACCACTTAAAAGTTCAAACGAAGCAAGCAAATTGGTGCTTGCGCCAGTTTATTGGAGATGTTTATCATGAAAATGGTGTTGTCAAAATTATTTTCTTCTGTCCGCTCCGCTGTCTCTCCCGACCCTCCTATATACACAGCTCGCTCGCTCGCTTGCCACGCATATACCTTCAGATGGTGTTTGTTGTTCCTTTCATGTTTATTATCACTGCCTCCTCCCCCGGTTCTGTGTCTGGCCAGCTATATACACTGATTTTGTTTGATCAACCGCCTCCCTTTTCTTGCAATTCTCAGATGATCTGCCAGTGTCATGAAGAAGCACTGCTGTTGATGACGACGACGATGTGATGAGTCAAACTCTCTACTCAATCTCTCCTAGCCTATAGCTACAATCCCGACTTGTAAAGTACAGTGGAACTAACGCTTACCAGCCACAAAGAAAAAAAAAAGGAGGAACCGAAAACGAGAGGCAAATCTCCTCACCCCACCAAAACCGTGTTGCTGCCTTTGCTTTTCTAAGTGTTGGGAACGTAAGTGCCAATGTAGCCAAAGCCCATGATGAAGAATGCGACCGCTTGCAAGTAGAGATAGATGTAGTAACGGTCGCGCCCGAACGCCAAATCGTAAGACGCGCAAAAGAAGATGTACAGGCCGACGATCAGCTCCTGGACGAACAACCTGCACGTAGCACATGAAACACATGAAATCGCCGAGATATGTATGCTTGCCTTTCTCCGATCTTCTGCTTTGGTTTTTGCTTTAGTTTTGCAAACTTTATCTTGAGGGCGTCCCCGAGCTTCTCCGTCACAATCCACTCGTTGACACGGCCTATGTCCAGCAACCCGGTGATCGTCGCTTTGGTTCTGTGCATGGACATGACGTTCTCAAACAGGACCCAGAAAACTAGGAAGGGGAGTGACCTGTAGGGAAGCAACGTTAAGAATCAGATGTATAAGGGGATAACACTCACTTTGGAGTTGCCATGCAGTTTAGCAGCGTTATCATCGACGGAAGATAAATGGAGCCCCACTTTGGTAAGTTGACCTCGGGCACCAGCACGCATGTTGGCACCACGACGCAGAAGAATATGAATGTGACAAGGTGTGCTACAATCTTCCGCACCAGAAAGAAAGAATAAAGAATGCTGAACTTCTTGAGCATGCTTACTTTCTGCGAAATCAACAACGTGCCCCAGTGGTGAGAAAGAAAAACTAAAAGCCTGCCGTTTGCGTTATGCGCGTACGTACCTTAGCAGCCAAAACCCCCGGAATCATCTTCCGAAAGAGGTTAGCCGGCCCACATGACCATCTGTGCTGCTGATAACGATAGGCCTTAAATGTACTGGGAAGCTCGTTCTTCACCTGAGAAACAGAGAAACCATATTACTTACTCTAAGCAAGGAAAAGGTACCAAACGTACCGAGAGGTCATCTAGATAAACGAACTTCCAGCCCCTGAGCCCCGCACGGACTGCCAAGTCCATGTCCTCAACCGTGGTCCGACTGTTCCACCCTCCAGCTTCACTAATGGCCGCAATGCGCCAAACTCCAGCAGTGCCTGTTGTAGCAAGCAGCAAGCGTTTCGTAAGCGTGACCCTGTAGCTAGCTTATTACCTACCATTGAATCCAAAGAAAGCATAGGTTGCGGATCCCACAGATTGCTCCACGGTAAAATGGTAACTCAGCGACATCTCCTGCATCCGTGTCATCATGCACTCGTCGGCATTCACTGCTCCACATTGAAAGAGAGGAAAAAAAAGAAAAGAATAACGTCAATATCAGATCATTCAAGGGGCTGCCTGCTGGCCGCGCCTGAGACTGTGTGTGAGTGGTGGGAGAAAGAGAAAGAGGGGGATTCAAGCAACCCAAGGCATGCATGCATCATGCGGCATTGTTCTTGCAGGGAGCCGATGTTAATGAGCCCTAAAAATGAGCAATTGGCGCGCAAATGCAACGCGCAAGAACTCGAGGAATCGTCGTCGTCGTCGCGTCGTCAGGGAGAGAGTAATTGAGTTGAGGGGCCGACACCCGTGCTACGTGGCCAGAATCCAGAGGACTTGACGACTGGGACGAGGCCACGTGGTGCGTGTGGCACAGACTGGCGCCACTTTATAGCCAAGGAGAAGCTTCCCGGGTGGTAAATCTCTCTTGTGCTTTACCCCTGTGCCGCGTGTCGGCGAGGCAAATCTATCTTCCCTCAAATCAAACCAGGCAGCAAAAGAGACACTACTATCTCTCGCCTCACACACAGTCCTCTCGGGTCAACTAACTAATTCCTGGATCAAGACAACAAGACACACAAAATCAGCGGATGATCATCCCAGGGGAGAATGGAAAATGCATCGCCCAGGTAAAATCAATCAATCAATCAGCCAGCCAGCCGGGTGAGACCAACGTACCGAATTTCCAGCGGGCTTGAACGAGACCAATGTCGGCGTTGTGCACCAGGTAGGGGATGGTCCGCCACAAGAAATCGGGCTCGGGCTGGAAATCCGCGTCGAAGATGGCCACATAGTCGCAGTCCTTGACGTAGCTGCGCTTCATGCCCTCCTTGAGCGCCCCCGCCTTGTAGCCATTCCTGTTGTCCCGGATCTCATACTTGATGTTCACCCCTTTGCTCGCCCATCTCTGGCACTCGAGCTCCACCAGATTCTGCGTGTAAAACATCCAATCACATCCATCCACATAGTTCCAAGAGGTGGAAGCTCTAGGCAAACCTTGATGGTGAGGTCGGTCGAATCGTCCAGGATTTGCACAATAATGCGGTCCGAAGGCCACGAGAGGCCACAAGCAGCGCCAATTGAGAGCTGGTACACCTGGGAGGAGAATCCAGACCAAAAAACCAAGCTAAACTTCGTTAGCCACAGCGAGAGGGTGGGCTAGGCATCGAATAGATCACCTCGCGCTCGTTGTACATGGGCACCTGGACCAGCACCATGGGATAGGCCGAATTGCCCGACTCGAGGTCGTCCTTGATGGGCTCCCACTTATACTTGTTCTCGGGCCTCTTGCCCGACAGCTTGACCAGCACCATCACCAGCGCCATGTAGAGCCGCTCCACGAAGAGCATGAGCAGCATCACCAGGCAGATGTTGACGCCCACCTGCAATGCCGGGGCAATGTATGGCGCTCGAATCTGGAGCCACATCGCATTGATCTGGTCGATCATGCTCGGTTCCCCCTGCACGCCCTGCATTGTCTCGGGCAGCAGCCCCTCTGCCTGCGCGTGCGCAGCCTGATCCATTGCGGAATGCGGATGCAAACACCAAGATGGTGTCTAGCCTCTGCTGCTGGGTGGTTAATTCTCTCTAGCCAGCAGCTACCACTAGAGAGAGGGAGCTCCCGATCTGTTGGCTTATGCAAGCTGCATTGCGGCCCAGAGAAGTACTATAGCTTGTCTGGCTCAACCCAAAATTGAGCTGAGCAGACGCGAGCGAATCGATGTTCTAGTAACTAGCTATGCTGCTATACCACCAATTCATTCTTGGACCCCCAATCTGAATCTCAACCCCCTGCCTGGAGCCAAGGATCACGTACATTTGGCTAGCTGCTGCATGAAGAATGCAAATCCTTGGAGGGACTTCGTCACAGTGCCCTTGGCGACGGATATTCCCGGTCCCCAACTTCGCACGCTGCGGCAGCGGCACAGATCCAGTTGCCTGACGACGGACAGCGGCCTCGGTCAGCCGGCCTTGTCGCCAAAGAGTGGAGTCGAGTCGAGTCGAGTGAGACACAAGCCAAAGGAAAGCTGATCGGGAGCTGATGAAAAGCTGCAATGTGTGAATGTGAGTGAGGGAAAGTGCTCGTCCACTCCAAATGCAAATAGTGCGTGCTAGCTAGCTAGGCCTCCCTCTCTTCTTCCTCTTCTTCTTCTTCTTTTCTTCTTTCTCCCGTGAACTTGCGATCGAAAGAAGAGGCCTAAATTTGCAGAGAGAAGAGAGAGAGAGAGAGAGAGAGAGAGAGAGAGAGAGGGAGGAGAGGGTTTGATGGAGGAAAGAGGGGTGCTGTTGTCCGTGGACGAAGAAATGTATACTAGTAGTGTGCGCAGCAGGCAGCTTTTTGGACCGAGTTGTTGTTAGCATGGAGCAATTAATCTACATTTTTAATCCCGCCATAGTTTAACCCTCTCCCCATGGCACAAGGTTGGTGCCGGTGGCCCCATTACCAGACTTTGATAGCTCGTCGGCAACACCACCACCACTGCAGCGGAAGCACAGCAGCAGCACCAGGCCAGGCCACCACAGTTTTGACGCACTTACCTACCATTCCGGATCGAATCGCGGCAAGAGCAACATCGGGCGGGCGATCAAGGAAGAAGAGAGGAAACTATGCCAATAAATCTGGCTCGTGAGTGACCCAGAGACCCCCGGACGGAGAATCGCGATTCAGCCACTCAAATCCACAGGAAAAGAATAGCAAAGCTGGATTCAACCAGCCAAGCCGACTTAACCCAGCTGTCTTTTCTTAGTTTACAAACTTACCAGCGTAGGATTCACCATGCATAATACATAACAAGTATTTGATCGGGCTGGACTCTACTACTTGATCAGCGCTTGCTTGGATGTCAAAGCAGGCAGGCGCAGGAGAGACGACGCTGACACTCCAACGCCATCTCGCCCAAGCGCTTTAAAACGACTCGCCCAACAAACGAACAAACGAAACCAGTCTGAGAGTGGCATGAGCCCGAGGCCCACGTTTCGTGTTCTTCCATTCTCGTACGTTCAACAACATATTACAACATATAATGCCTTGGCTCATCCTATCACAACTTCACAGCTTACTGAAAAGTTATTATTTTTGTATTTTTGTTATTAGAAGTTTGTGTGATTGCCAGCTTGAGTGGAGATTCCCCGTGACCTACCGACGGTCGTCGTGCTTGTTGCTCGGGCTAACGATAACAAAAGTGTGGGATTTGATTACATGCTCAAATCTCTGGTTTGTTGCAACAGGCTCTTCTTTAAACCATTAGGATGGCTACAAAGAAGCAACTTTTTCTTTTCTTTCCATGGGGGGGCTCCACGCTTGAACCAATTGATATAGATGGATACATGTATACGCGCTCATCCTGTGTAGTAAAGTTGTAAAACTCTTGGTAAACTCTAGATACAGCACAGAGTACGCAGAGCTTATGTGGGGGGTTGGACTGCACTACTGTGCAAACGGGGGATCAGAGGAGGGAGAGGAGAGGAGAGGAGAGGGGGATCCATCCTTTCTTAAATGGGACGGTGGTGATGTGAAGCTTTCCCCCAACGCCTTTTAATTGGTTTGCTACCTTCAGGTAGCTTGTCATGTCATGAAGACTCCAACTCTCTCTCTCTCCGTTACAAAGGCGATGTAAGTGAGATTTTCGCAGAACCAAAGGCTCTCTGTATGCTCTTGGGATTCATCGATCGACTCGATCACATTGTGCTTGAAAGATTGGCAAAAGTAAGCAGGTTGCAGGCCGTGGATTACTGTCGGCGAGACTTAGAGGACGGGATGCGACAACGGACACTGGCCAACAACAGCAGTCAGTTCAAAGAGCTACTTTTAGACTCGGACGTGTGTCCATGAAATCAAAACACAACAGGACCACCATGAAGCAAAGTAGCACGGGCCGTACAGATCCATTCCAACTCTCTTTGAATCAACTTGAACTCCATCAACTTGAACCACCGAGAAAAACTAGAAAATGGAAAAACTGGTGTGAAGTCCTAAGCGTCAAGTTTCGTGTGGTCGGTTGGAACTTGAGTCGCATCTGGTGGATTTATAAATTTCGAGCCAAGTCGTCGGCTCTGACGGAGGCTCGCGGCCTACCGCTCGCTCCGTAGCACACGGCTTCCAAGTGCTTCTTTCCATTTTCTTTTGTGGTGTATTGTAGATTCGAAGTCTGGTAGGCGGTCGCGAGCTGGTGGAAGAATCGAGCCACCGATTCGGGCCCGCCTCGTTAGAAAGAAGATCCGAAGCAGCGCTAGCTACAGTGCAGCGGCAATACGGCATACGCTCATCAGAAAGAAAGGTAGAGTATAGGCTAGATTCAAGCCGTATGTTTGTACTGTGTATGCGATGGAGACCCATAACTTAACCCCGCTCCGGAAGATTTGCTAAGTTGGCCGACAAATGTATCTATAGTGAGTCTGGTGCTGGCCAGCTAGCTAGCCTTAATACTCATGCCTGGGAACAACAGCGTACCCACAAAAAGGAAGAAAATTGCAACTTCTTCTTCTTTGCTGTTCTTTCGCGTCCTCTCTCTCTCACTCTCACTCTCGCTCTCGCACAACTGAGCACAAACACACAACTTGAGCAATCAGATCGAAAGAGAAAAGAAAAAGGCGGACCTGCAATGTTTTGTCAATGGCACCGTACCACCGACTTACGCGACACGACATAGCAGCGTTGACGGGTATCGAACTCGCCTCCTCTAGAGCTGTTGTGACGTCGATGGCAAAGTGGCGGAGGGAGAGAGGAGGCGTAGGCTATGGCAGCAACAGCGCTCTCCTCTTCCTCCTCCTTGTCCCGCTGCTTATCGTCTATGGCGTGTGGATCATCGCTGCGCCGTCACTGTCCGCCGCCCCCGGCGGCGGCGCCGGCATTCCCATTCCAGGGAAGTATATGTGGTACGCGCCACACAGCGGCTTCAGCAATCAGGTAGGCGAGCTCCGGAATGCTGTGCGCGTGGCGGCCATCCTGGGCAGGATCCTCATTCTCCCCCCCGTCACCGATCACCATGCGCTCAGCCTCGGCAGCTGCCCTAAGTTCCGGATCGTGGAGCCTCGCCACCTCAGGGTAGCTGCATTGTCCCACTTCTCCGATCTCGTCGCGCAATCCAGGTGAGTGCTTCGCCTGTTCTTTGGATTGGAAGTGATCCACCACCTGTAGGTACTACTCCATCGCCGACGTCGTCAACATCTCGGCCGTGAGCCAGAGCTTGGTGACGACGATCGACTTTCGAGTGTTTGCTCTCCTGCGGTGTGGAGCAAATCGAGTCGAGCCGCCATGCGCAGGTACTGCCACTCCATGCCCAAGCAAGGGAGGCTTCGATCGATGCATCGCGATGCTCAACCACGCGCACTGTGTTGGCAGTGATTGCGTGCACTGCGTGGACGAGAGCTGCGCAGACACAGTGTGGACGTACGCAGCGACCAGTCCGAAACGACGTTTGCTCGAGCAGCCCGTCAAGCTCAAGACGAAGAAATTCAGCGGCGCGCGGCGAGTCAAGCGCGACATCCTCCAAAGCCTCGGTGACGGAACCGTGGCTGGCGATTCCAAGCTCTTGGTGTTTGGGAGCCTCTTCTCCGGGGAGTATCAAGGCGCTCAGACCCACGTCGATCTCAGTGCTGCGTCCGGGAACGCGGCTTTCGACCGGGTGTTCCAGGCGAGCCAACACTTTCCACTGTCGCGGGTGGTAACCGACGCTGGACGGGCTTATATCCGGAGCCGGATGAACAAGCGGGAGTTTTTCTGTGCGCAACTCCGGCTGCTAGACGGGCAGTTCAAGAATCACTGGAGCAAGACGTTTGACAGCCTGAGATTGCGGCTGGAATCCCTTGTTCCAGACGAAGGTGGTGGCGCCATTCCGGTGTTTGTCATGACGGATTTGCCACGCGCAAATTGGACAGGGACTTATCTGCAAGAGCTCTCGGAGCGCAGCGAGTACCAAATCTTTCGGCTCGAGGAGGGCGACGAGATTGTGCGTGACACCGCGAGGAGAGTGTTGGCGCTCAAACCTGGGAGCGATGATCCATTAAAGGTGGTGGTGATGGAGCAGCAGACGCTGGATCAAGCGCCTCACCACCAAATGCTTCCAGACATTCTTTTGTACGTGGAGGAGGCGATTTGCAGCTGTGCTTCGTTGGGCTTCCATGGCACTGCCGGTTCCACAATCTCGGAAATGATAACGCAATTGCGAAATGCAACACCGCAGTGTTCTTGAGCTCTTGAGATGCTTTTTGGCGCGCTCCTTTGAATTCCTCCCGCTCTTTTTCATGTTTTGGCGGGCAAGGAGCCAGGCATTTAGGTCCCTTCTCGTGCCGCGTTGCTTAGCAAGCACTCTTCCAGCAGGGCGATGGCGGATCAAGTGACTGCTCGCGGAGTTTCTCTTTTGCTCAGCGATTCTCCTGCCACTCCCGTGGTGCTTCAGGTGTGTGATCAAATCGATTGTCTAAATCCAGTTTGTTCACTCCTCTTTGCTTTGTTTGTGATCAGGTGTTGGATGTCAAGTCTATTGCCAACGGCCGCTACACGTACGCTTTTGCTTTGCCGCTCCACGATCTTCGGTTTGAACTTTGGGGGTTTTCTTTTGTGCAGTTGCATGCTGTCCGATGGATCTATGAAAGCGAAGGCTATGCTTCCGACCCATATGTCGGCGGAGGTAGAGGCAGGGAAGATCCAACACTTGGGGCTCATCCGTGTTCTCTCTCATGCCACCAGCGTGATTCCAAATCTGCCAAACAAGTATGCGCACATTTTGATTTTTTTCTTCTTCTTTCTTTTCTTTGCGTGATGCTCATGCTCGTATTGTCAACCATCCAGAGCTCTGATCGTCACCGATTGCGAAGTCGTCAGTGGGGCACTGGATCGTGAGGTTGGTAGTGAATCATCATCTTCCGCACAGAAGACCCAGTGCGATGAAAAGCCAAAGTTTCTTTCGGCACCAGTTAAGTCGGCCGCTCAGATCGTTCAAGAGGAGCACGGAAGGTAGCTCTGTCTTGTGGTACCATGTGGTTTTCATTGAATTTCTTGCGCCATGAATGCCAGAGCCGCACCAGCTGCCAGGATGGGTGTGTCGAGGAGAGTATACCCCCTGGTGTCTTTAACCCCTTACCAAGGTAGTTGGACAATCAAGGTGAGAGTTACGAGCAAAGGTCCACTGCGGACGTATCGCAATGCCAGAGGCGAGGGAAGCGTCTTCAACGTCGAATTGACAGACGAAGATGTCAGTTTTTTTTCGTCTTGCGCTTTTTCGTCCGTGACGGTTTTACTGTGGAATGCTCTCTTTCAGGGAACACAGATTCAAGCTACCATGTTCAAGGAGGCGGCTGAAAAGTTTTACCCGATGTTTGAGCTGGGAAAGGCGAGTAATTCCCCTGCTGAAAGCATGCTGACGGTGTAGCTTCTTTTCTTTATCAGGTCTACTACGTTTCGAATGGAAATCTCCGCATGGCTAACAGGCGGTTTTCCGCTGTCAAGAACGACTACGAGATGACCTTGAATGCAAGCTCTGGGGTAGAGGAGGTGACTGAGCCTGATGGAAAGCCTGGTGTGATTCCTCTGGTTAAGTACAACTTCGTGAAGATTGAGGACTTGGCGGCGTATGTTAACAAGAGAGAGCTTTTTGGTACGTGTGGCATGGGTGATTTGTCATTTCAAACAGCATTTTTTTTTTTCGCAGATGCTATTGGAATAGTGCAATCGGTTTCTTCGACAATGAGTGTAAGGCGAAAGGTTGACAACACAGAATTTGCAAAGCGAGAAATCGTTCTTGTCGACCAAAGGTACTGTTCGCAGTCAAAGACAGTGTTTTGGTTGAGAGAAGTGCGATGTTTTCGATTCACAGTCAAAAAACGGTTGCCGTAAGCCTCTGGAGCAGTCTTGCAGTGGAGGACGGAGCTAAGCTGCTAGAAATGCTCCCTGATGCGCCCGTAGTAGTAATCCGATCGGTGCGTGCTAATGACTTTCAAGGTAAGCTTCGTCTTAAGCGTATCTTTCGTAGTTCTCAAGGTTTCAGCAGGTGTATCTCTGTCGACGTCTCCCAACAGTATGGTGTGGATAAATCCCGACATTCCCGAGGCCCGAGAACTTCGATCCTGGTGAGTGGCGCACACTGTTTATCGAAGTACGAAGAAGAAGGTCCTACTCATCGAATTGGTTGTAGGTATGACGAGAGCGGGAAAGATGCAACCTTGACGTCGGTGGGTGCTGGTTTGAGTCAAAGAGCAGGCCCGACGAACGACAACCGTGCGGATATCTCAGACATCACTGCCCCATCTGTTGGCGAAGGAAAGGTAAAAGAAAAGAATGAGAATCTATGGTGCTATAATGGTGATGGATGGTGCTTTTGCCAGGCCGCATACTTCACTGTCCGCGCTTGCATCAGCTACATCAAGCCGGATCAAACCATGTGGTACACAGCGTGCAGTACATGCAATCGCAAAGTTAGCGAGGACAGCTCTCGATTCTGGTGCGAGGCCTGTCAGCGGCACTTCGATACAGCCAGTCGTCGGTGAGTTCCATCGTTTTTTGACTCGGGAATGTTTGACACAGCAATCTTTCCGCATGGCAGATACATAATGCTGGCCAAGCTAACTGATCATAGCGGTGATGCATGGGTTTCGTTCTTCAATGATCAAGCCGAACAGATTTTGGGCGTGAGTGCCGACGAGCTAGCCACAATCAAGTCGCAAGTAAGCATGGGACAGATGAGCTTGTCGTTCTAGAAACGCTGGTGCTGAACTTGTGGTGACAGGATGATGATCAGAGGCAGTACTCATCGCAGCTGAGCAAAGTGGTGTGGTCGTCCTACGTTTTCCGTGTCAGCGTTGCTCAGACTGAGTACCTGGGCGAGAAGCGACAGAGGATCACGATTCGTGCCGTGAACGATACCGACTGGGCCAGTGAGTCGAGGCTTTTGTTGGCCAAGATGAAGCTAGAAAGTTCTTAGTTTCTCATTAATCCTTCAGAGCATCTCTTTGTACATACCATAGTTCTGTGAGAAAATCAAGCCAAAACTACAACTACACTACCACTTGCGTTTATCGAAGGATGGCTGCTGGAAAAACTTCAATCTATCTACTTATAGTGCTCCTCTGCATCGGCCAAGGTAGGAATCGTATATATCTACAACACTGGATGATGTACTACTTACTTCCCCCCTCTCAAAATTTCAATTTTCTTCTGTCCTGCGCGCTCGCTCCCGAAGCCCACACTCACTTGGCAATGATCTCGAGCTGGTTGAAGAAGAGATCCAGCTCGGGCGAAGTAAAGTAGGCGGCGGCTGGCGGCAAAAACCGTCTTTGCAAGTGTGGCTTCTTGGGCGCCGGTGGGCACACGAGAGCATCCTCGGGCAACCTGTATTGCCGCGACTTGGGTGTCTTGCAGCCATCCTCGTGATCGCCCAGCTGATCGTGATGATTGCCACCGCCCGATTCTGGAATCGCTGCGCCGCTGCTGCATTTGCTGTTGCTGAAGCTGTTCCCCCCCTCACTGCGTAGCCTCCTCACAAACTCCTCGTCCCACGACTTCTGGCGATAGACGGTGGACACTGGAGCACAGCCCGATGGAATAGGCGCCATACTCTTCCTCGCTCGCTGCCCTAGCGGTCGCTATCCGAGTGCTCGATACCTGGATGGAATGGAGCTCTTGTCGGCGACTGCTGCCCGAGAGAGAGACACTTGAAAAGCTTTGCCGCCCTCGCAAAAAGCTTCGAGAAGAATCCCCACCGCTCAAGAGGGGGGGTTTTAAAGAGGACACCGCGCGCAAGGCCTTTCGAGCTCGACCGCTGGATGGCTGCCACCTGGTGCCGGTTTGACGGCCACGGCGCGGCAAACGTGTCGGTGGGCCGACAGAGCGCCGCCGTGGTGCTTCTGGGATCTTTCGAATGGCTGAGAAATCGGGATTTTGAAATGATCAGCGGCTGGTTTTGGCGGGACGCCGCTGGATCGCCGCCACGTGGCAAAATGATCACCAGATTTTTGTTTCTAGTGTTTTTGATTTATTCCAAGTGGGCGCCGCGCCTCAGTCGATCAATGACATCAAAAAATCAAACCAGAGGCACTGTTTTGGGCGGCCAAGGTGGTGTTAAAATTGGAGCAAGTGGTCTGGTAGAAGAAGAGGATTCCGGTGAATCCAAACCGCTGCTTCTCCAGATCCAAGCGCACCAGATTGTGCATCTGCTGGAACGTTCCAACCACAGAAAGACCAGGCGATGATGAGCCGGCGTCCACAAACGCGAGGCAGGCCACCGTGGAATCTTTCAAAAACACCATGGTGTTGGCGCCAAACAGCGTCCACGTGGCGTTTCCCTCCAGCTGGAGCTCCACTGGCGGCACGGGGGGCCCCACGCGCGTGGACCCGAGCCCACTCGCGTTAAAGCACGTGTCAAACGGGGCAACGGGCGCGACGCGCGGGACGGTCAAATTGCGGAAGGCGTCGCGGATCGCCACGTAGGCAGGTGTGACGAGGCGGGTGTACGGCACCGTGCTGCTCAGCGCCCAGGCGGCGGGCTTGACCGCCGGGAGCCGTTGACCATTGACCCTGACCGAGTTGACCCGGATGGCGTAGCTATGGCGGGCGGGCGGGGAGACGAGAGGGGTGTACTGCAGCAGCGGAGAGATGGGGCGCTTGTTGGGCATGAAGTTGATGTCCTGCGCGCCGAAGAAGATCGGCGAGGATCCCTGCTGGGAGAGACAATAGGTGACGATCTTCTTGTTCCGGGGTGACAATCGAGCTGGAAGCGCCTGGCTCCCTCTCCCCAGCGCAGCCACTGGTGACCCGCATTTGAATGGGACCCCGGGGATTGTCACGGGACCAGTGGGATTGGAGCCATCGGTGGCGTTGAGACTAACCTGGTACGAGGATCTGGGAGAGGGGCCGCAGTTGATGGAGGACACGCGAGCGTCCAGATCGAGCTGCAGCAGCTGGGTTTTGGGTGGAGTGCCGATGCGCAGCGACAACCTGGTGCCGATGAGCTCGCCCACCAGCGGACGAGATCCGGGCGTGGCAGCAGCCGCGAGAGAGCACAAGAGCATGCAACACAAGGCGACAGGAAATTTATTAGCCATCTTCATCTTCTCCAAGAGCCAGCAGTAGAAAGAAACGTTGCAGTCTGTATATATCACATCTCAGATCTCCACACGTGACACGATGACATTTATCGAGATGGCGACCAGTCTACGTAACGTGCCGGATTTTGACACTGCAAGGCCACGATTGCGATGGAATTGTCAAATAGCTCCGACTTGATAACATAAGCTGTGCAGCGAGTACAAAATGCGAATATGCTGTGTTGTGTGCCTGCAACCTCAGCTCTTGGGTGACAAAATGGAAAGAAACCGGATTCTTCTTTCTCGCTACACCTCAGAGGCCGCCTCCTTTTTGAGCGAGGCCGAGAACATATCAACCTGGCTCTTGATGCCGCTCGCCACAAAGGCAATCTGGAATATCTCCTCATACTTGTCCACGAAATGGACGTCGAGGCCTTCTTTTACGTGCGGCAAGAGCTCGTCGTAGTCCCGCTTGTTGGCCTTGGGAAAAATGATCGTCTTCACAGCGCTCCTCCTGGATGCCACAGTTTTCTCTTTTACCTGTTCCAAGTTCCAACAGTCAGTATTGTCAAGAAGAAAAAAGGAAAAAAATCATCTGCTTACCCCGCCAATGGCAAGAACTCGGCCAGTCAGTGTCACTTCCCCAGTCATTGCTACATCGTCGTTGACAGGCTTGCTGAGAGCCAGCGACAGCATCGAGGTGATCATAGTGCACCCGGCGCTTGGCCCGTCTTTTGGCGTAGCACCGGCCGGTACGTGGAGATGTAGTTTGCTGTTTGTAAAAAACTGGTTTTGCGGATCAATCTCTCGCAGGTACTTCCGCGCAAATGTGTGTGCTATTGAGGCGCTCTCCTTCATCACATCCCCAAGCTGACCAGTGAGTTGGAGCCCGCCTTTACCTTCACCCTCCTCAATCACACTCGTCTCCACATAGAGCGTGGAGCCTCCCATTGCTGTCCAGGCCAGACCCATGACGACTCCAATCGGTGTCTTGTCGTAGAAGCGGTCGCTTACGAACACGGGACTTCCCACGAACTCGTGAAGATTGGTGTCGTTGATTTTGATCTGCTCTTCTGCCACCTTTTTCTCTGCCTCCTCCTTTTCTTTGGTTTCTGATGACGCAGACTCATCCGGTACCTTGTTGTCTGTTTCCGATGTAGTAGAAGCCTTCACGCCCGTCAATTTTTCTTCCGGCTCTGAACACGGCGGTTTCTCCAACGGCAACTTCTGAGCAATATCCACCTTTTCTTTCTCTGACGGTAGCATGGTCTCGGCCTCAAGCGTTTCACCCTCCTGGACGGCTGAGTCGGTTAGCTTAATGGCCATATCCTCCTTCTCAGATGTTGCATCGGGCAAAAGCTCGTCCGCAAGTATCTCCAGCTTTTCATTCAGAACCGGCGTTTCTTTGAGTTCTGCTTCCTCTATGCTATTGGAGTCGTCTTCCACAAGTTTGATGGCACCGTCATTCTGCAAGCAACGTTCAATACCATAGAATATGAGGTACGAAAAATACCTCGGCATTGCTTTTCGTTTCGGCAACCGTAACCAGGTTATTCTGTTTCATTTCCTCCTCCTTGGGAGTATCAAGCTCACGTCGGACTAGTTTCAGCGCTATCTGTAAATGAAAGCTGTTGGGATTCTAAAGAACTCACCAATACTGCTACCTTGCGATAAATCTTATCAATATGCTTCTGCAGATTTCTAACGCCAGCCTCGCGACAATAAGTTTCTATAAGACTGTGCATAGCACTGTCACTAAGCTCAACCTGCAACAACATTTGAGAAGACCTGTTAATATTGAAGGCGATTCTACCTGTTCTTTTTTTATCCCACAATTTTCTCGAGCTTGGCGTTCGAGATAGTCACGGGCAATGTGCATTTTCTCATCAGTAATATAACCGACCAACCGTATAACTTCCATGCGATCAAGTAGAGGTGCAGGAATGTTCTCAACCAAATTTGCAGTGCAAACGAACAAAACCTACAAGGAAACGAGCATTAGCTGAAAGTTGTGAAAAAACAGAGAGCTCACTTTTGACAAATCTATGGGCACGTCAAGGTAATGGTCAAGAAAATTAGCATTCTGCTCCGGATCTAGAAGTTCCAATAATGCACTAGCTGGATCTCCTGCATGACCCCGACCAAGCTGCAATGACAACGTCAGAACGAATTGTTAAACTAACTGTTCAAGATCCTTCACCTTATCAATCTCATCGATCAGCACCAAAGGGTTAGCAGTTCCTGTCGACTTCAGGCACTGAACCATTTTACCAGGCATGGCTCCAACGTAAGTTCTGCGATGCCCCTGAAAATAATAAAATAGTAGAAACCAAATGTAATGATAGCTGCAATAATCACCTTAATCTCAGCAACATCACTAAGGCCACCAACTGAGAAGCGAAAGAATTTTCGATTGAGCGCCTTAGCAATTGATTTCCCTATGCTTGTTTTCCCTACTCCAGGGGGTCCTGAAAGGCATATTATCTTTCCTGAAAAGAAAAGAAGAAAAACCAAATCAATTGTACGCATTGGCACCAAAACAAAAATTCATACTGGCAAAATTTACCAACAGCGGTGCCCTTCAGCTTGCCAACAGCGATAAACTCAAGTATCCTTTCTTTTACATCGGACAAGCCATAATGATCCTCGTCCAGAACAGTTTGAGCCTGCCGTACATCAAAGTTTTCCTTGCTGCAAGGAAAAATTGGAATCAATGACCGAGTGATAGAAGAAAAGAAAGAACCTGTATTGTCCCCACGGTAGTGCTGTCAACCAGTCCAGATAGTTTCTTGTAACATTGAACTCGCTCGAACTGGACTCAAGGCCTTGCAATTTAGAGAGTTCCTCGTCGATGACTTGCAAAACGTGCTCCGGACACTGCTTTCTATGTGGCTCCAATCTCTCTTTAAACTTTACTGTATACGTGAAAGAGAGGAAGTCGAAACGGGATTAAAACTAGAGAAACAAATTTACCAGTAAGCGCTGTTTTATCATCTGCTTCAATTCCCAGCTCCTACACCAGAAATTCAGAAGCTTAAATCATTAAGCTCATTAAGGTACCTTCTTAATAGCTTTCAGTTGCTCCATTAAGAAAAACCGGCGTTGATCACCGCTTATTTTTTCCTCCACGTTTTTCGCAATAGTCGCCTGGGAAAGCTTTAAGAACGAGAATAGTCATAATTAGCATACCTGTAGCTTTGCAAGCTCAAGCTCTTTCTTTAAAAGTACAAGAGCTAAATTGAGTCGCTTCTCCACCTATAGCACAAAACAAGAACCGCCTTTTAGAAACGTTATGGTCAATCAGAAATTCTTACATCTAGTTGCTCCAACACTTCCTGTAGCAGAGGTTCATCAGCTGTAGTGAGCGCAGAGCCAAAGTCAGCCAGTCGGGCAGCATTGATATGCGAATTTCCCATATTCTGCATTCAAAAACGTTGTTCTGAATAACGTCATGAATTGAAAGAGCTGAAAAAGCACACGGACCTGCACGAAGACTTGAATAGTTTCTTTGTACAAAGGATTGTATCGCATTAGATCACGCAAAGAGGCGACAACCTCCATAAAAGTTGCTTTTATAACATCTGATGTCTCGTCATAAGATTTATCCTGATACCACAAGAATACTTTAGCAAGCGATCAAATCACACCTAGAACGAACCTTGAGATGCTCAACCGAAACTGTCAAAGGATCATCGGATAGCTGCATCACATATTTTCAGAACATTTTTAACGAGGAATAATATCTATTACCATTCCAGTGAGTCGTAAGCGGCGATGGCCCATGAGAAAAACTTGAGCAGGACCATCCGAATTGACGCTTCTTATGACGTTGAGCACCTGTTTCAAACTTGAGTCAAAGGCGGCGGTGTTGTAGGTTGATGACTAACCTGTGCAAACGTTCCATATTCATGCAATCTTTTGTATAGAGCTTCTCCCTTCAAATCCGAATCCTTGACCTCCTCGCCACTCTTCTCCCCAGTCTTCTCTTCACTTTTCTCGCCAGCTGCTCCACTCGTCTCGCGGGCATTTTCACTTTCAACCACAACGCTCTCCTTCGCATCCTTGAGAAGAAATGCTCCAACATACGGCGTTCCTCTTGCTCGAAGCTCTACCAATGAGTCCGCAAGCTTGGGATCCTGTGGCACTTGATAAGAGTTGGTGACTTTTCAAACTAGTCGATTAAATACCTTACCTTGATGTGAATGGGAGCATAGAATCCAGGGAACAAAGGCCTTCTCGTCAGTGGTAATGCTAAAACCTGGAAGAGACGAATGGCAAACGTGTTTTTTAAACGACCAAAGTTACCTTGGGAAAGTTCTCGGGTCTCGGCCCAGCAGGAACAATAGCCCCCGACTGTGCGGACTCTTCAGCACCTTCCTGATCTTCTTTTTCCTTCAAATCTTTTCCGTCTTTCCCATCCTTCCCTTCTTTTGCCTCCTTGGCTTCCTTGACGACCGTAGCTTCTGTGGCTTCCGCGCTGGCTTTGTTCGACTTATCACCTCCAGACCCTTTCAAAATCCTCTGGAATAAGCTCGGTTTCCTCCGACCACCACCACCACCGCCGCCGCCACCTTCTTTTTCCCCTTTGCCTTCAGTCTTGCTACCACCTTCTCCTTTTCCTCCGGATGATCCCTCACTTGACTTAGAAGACACGACTTTGTCGGGGATAGCAGCTTCTTCAATGCTACTAGCGCTGTCAGCTTCGCTGGACTCTTTGCTACTACTATTGCTCCCATTCTTACTGCTACCGTCGCTACCGCCCTTGCCGGCACCGCTGCCGGAGCAAAATGTGTGCCTGGTGCCATCGAACGACCGAGCGAGCATCGAGCCCCATGCCGGCGCCCGCGCCCCAGCAGGCCATGTAGCGGGCCGGATCGAGAGACGTCTCAAGCTGGGGGAATCCCGGAGCGCCGACGAGACAATGGCGGCGAGCATAGATGCGAGGAAATCCCTACCAGGAAACGAAGATCGCCCCGCCTTCCACCGCGCCCCGACCGCGCTTCATGCCCTAGACTAGAATGACGGGTTTAGGGTTTATCAAAACGTAGAATAGTTAGTCAAAAACGAGGGAGGGGATTATATTAGTTTATCATAGTCACAATCCGAGGCGCTTGGGAGTCCGAGATGGAGTGCCGGGCACACGCATTCCCGGCGTGGTGATGGCCTGTCTCTCTCGGGCAAGCCGGGCAGCCTTCTCGGTGTCCTTCACCTTGGCCGTCACCTCCGCCTCGTTCTTCCGCAGCGTTTCCATTTCCTGCTCCATCACCGTCTTCTCCACTCGCTGCCTCTTATACTGCTCCAGCCGCGACGTGTTGGAGTCCTTGACCGAGAAGAACATCGGCCCCAGCTCCGCCAGCCAAGTCGGCTCCACCGCCGTCACGCACTGCATGTACTCCTTGGTCGTCAGGATGAGCTCGTGGTACACCACGTACTCGGGAGTGTAGCCCAGCCCGTAGAGAGCGCTGCTCGGGTGGAGGTGGCACGGCATCCCGTTCCGGCAATTCACGTACTCCCCCACTCCTTTAAGGCGTCCTGCGTTGTGGAAGTAGGCCGAGCATATCGCCTTTCGGATGTCGTCCCACTCGTGGCCGCACGACGAGAGTGCGATCTTCTGCTTCTCGAGGATGTCAAGGAGCTGGGAGCGGACCTCACGGGCCTTGAGCAGGCCTTTCCTCTGGAGGTAGTGATCGTTGCACCATTTTGTCCCGAACTTGTTTTCTTTTGCCCGCAGGTAGATGTTGAGCAGCGTCAGGTGGTCGCTCTCCGGCACGAAAAACTTCTCGCGAGCGGCATCACTCTCTTCTGCCCGCTCCTTGGGCCTGTTGAAAACCGACGGTACTGACAGCATGGAGACGATGATCAGGACCTCGCTGAGGCACTGCAGCTCGTCTCCCATCAGAAGCATCTTGGCAAGCGGAGGATCCAGCGGGAACTCCACCATCTTTCTCCCCAGAGTAGTAAGCCTCCCAACGTTGTCTAGAGCGCCAAGTATCCACAGCTGGTACATGGAGTTTAAGATGTTCTCCTGCGGCGGCGGATCCATGAAGTCGAAGTCGAGGAGGTTATCTATGTTGAGCGACTTCAATAACAGCACCACATTTCCAAGGTTGGTCCGCTGGATCTCGGGTACCGGGTTTGGCAGCATCTCGTTGAGATAAGCAGTCTCAGTATACAACCTGTAGCAAGTCCCGGGCCCTGTTCTTCCGGCTCGTCCAGACCGTTGATCAGCTGCTGCCCGGCTGATAGGAAACACCTGAAGTGCGTCCATACCCATGCGAGGATTGTAGAACTTAATCTTGCTGTACCCGGAATCGATAACGTACAAAATACCGTCCACTGTCAAAGATGTCTCGGCAATGTTTGTGGCCACAACACACTTCCTCACTCCTTCCTCGGCTTTCTGGAATATCTTCGCTTGCAAATCCGATGGCATCTGCGAGTAGATGGGCAACACCAGTAATGGCGCTGCAGGTCTCTGTGAAGTTGCATCCAGCTGTTCCATTCTTTCCTTTAAGGCGGTACCGGCGGTGTATATCTCGTCTTGTCCGGTTAAGAATATCAGTATGTCTCCTGGAGGGGACGTCAGGTGTATGGCCATCGCTTGTTTTACAGCTGCATCAACGTAGTCTTCACAAGGAGTCTTGCTATATAAAACGTTGACAGGAAATGTTCGACCGGGAATGTAAAATACTGGAACACTGCAAAACCAAATGTTTTAATGGTGAGTAACAGCAAACTTAGCAGCCTACAAACCTTCCAAAAAAGTTCGAAAACTTCTGTGCATTAAGCGTTGCAGACGTCACAATAAGCTTGAAATCTCGACGTCGTGCAACCACCTGCTTCAAAATTCCAAAAAGAACGTCCGTATTGAGACTTCGCTCATGAGCCTCATCCATTATAATCACACTGTTCCAATTACCCATCAGATTAATGTCAATCTCGAGAACAAAGTTCAAGGACGTACCTGTATTGATCGAGGTCAGGTTCACGTAACGTCTCACGCAACAGCACACCGTCCGTCATGTACTGCAGCGCAATCATAAGATACGGCACTGGTACATGTTACAAGCTCACCTTGATGATCGTATTTGAACCGGTAACATCTTCAAAACGAATAGCATATCCAACCTTATCGCCAAGTTCGCAGTCCATTTCTTCGCTAACACGTTTCGCAACACTCATAGCCGCAACACGCCTCGGCTGCGTGCATCCCACCATCCCATACGTAGAATACTCCGCTTCGTGAAGGTACTGCATGCACCAAGTTAATCTATGAGAAGAGTCTTTAGTTTGAACGAAATTACTGCAACTTACCTGCGTCATTTGAGTTGTTTTACCAGACCCAGTTTCTCCGACCACAACAATAACCTGATTCTCCCGTATCACCTGCAGAAATGTAACTCAGTAAAAGCGTTTTCCTGGGTCATAATAGCATACCTGAAGAAGCTCGTCTCGAACAGAAAAAATAGGCAGGTACTGTCGCTGCTCTGATATAGTTTTCGACTTTGCAAAATCACTTGCCGCCTCACCCTTCTTCATATGCTTTGCAAACTTGGCATTCTCGCGATAGTCGACTTCGCTCTCTTCACCAACTTTTTCTTCTTCCTTCTCCGTCGCTAATTCTTCGTCAGACTTTTTTACACCCAGGATATCCCCAAGCCTCGATCCTGAGAGTTCCCAGAAGCGCTGTTGATACTTCTGCATATTTTGCTTTTCGCGCGATTCTCGCACTAAAACGGACCCTTTTCGTGCTATGATCGCCATGTCAGAGGTTGGATCTTTAACTGGCAGCACCGGATCAGCCTGTTTCGTATATACAAGCCTGCCGTCAAGGAACGGCGGCCGAGTATCTGAGAAAAAATGAATGCTTTTAGCCATGAACATAAACAAACCTCCTGTACTGTACTTACCATGCACAAGTAATATTACACGACTCTCATCTTCATCATCAAAATCTGTTTGCACTTCGGTGCCACGCACAGCGCCGGAACGCATAAGCTGCCTGTCTTCCCACTGCGCATTATCCGCACTTAATTGAGACATTTTCTGACTCTGAGCAAGACTCATCTTGCTTCCGTCCCGTCGCGTCTGCGCCAGAAATTGAAGTTCTTAACTGATAAATAAAGTCCTCTAGATACATACCAATCGTTTGGCCATTTCAGTTTCTCGCTTTTTGAAAGTGGCTTCATCACCCATGAACAAGGATGTACTATCGTCGATATCCACAGCGGTACCATCTTCTTCTCTATCATACCTGCACAGAAGAATGTCAGAAAAACACAAGAAAAGAATGTTGAAATACCAGGCACGGTCAAGTAATGCATCCATTTGTCCATCGCCTGTTCCATCGTACCCGTTGCTACCTTCCTCCGAACCTCTGTACTCCTCCTACGCAACAGCAGTCAGAACCAGCCCCTCATAACAAGCTTCAGTTACCTCATACTGCGGTGCTGTAACATGAGAACGAAACTTCAGGCTGTGCGACTTTTGTCCTCTGTCACGAGGGGCACCACTTGCTCGAACAGGAGCGGGTGAAGGCGAGGCAATGTCCCATGGAGAAGGAGTTGTGCCTACAAAAATCAAATGAGAACGATTGAGGAAATAAAACAAGCTGACAACACCAACCTGATGAATCTCCATACCAAGGAGACGCATAGCGAGACTCTGAAGGAGAGGATGGAATGTACGGGGTGTGTTCGTGCCGAGGGGTTGTCTCCCGCCGGGGCGTGTCATCCCATTCCCATCTGCCGTCATCCCAAGATGATTTCCCTGAAACACATATGCCTTAAGTGAAGAAGAGGCAAGCGAACATAGAGATAACATACCGTCATTCCATCTCCCAGGAGATGACTCACGCTTCTGTCTTCTATCTGTGCCGCTCTCCTTCTCTGATGAGCTAGGACGATCTCTTGGTGGTTTTGGGCCACCAGTACTGTAGAATCCAATCTCCTGAAACACGCGAGAAACATTTGAGTAAAAGAAAGAGAACAGAAGAAAAAGGCCACACACCGATGCTAATCTCCTCCTGTTTGGGCGCTCGGCAATAGCAGCCGCAGCATCCTCATTCACGCCGCCTGTACAAAGCGCCTATAAAGCCGTGAAGAAACAAAGACGAAAACCAACCTGGATGGGATGGGGTGTCTTGAGGATTTGGCACACGGTAATTTCTAGAGCTGTGAGAGCCATCGTCCGAGCTCCTCCTGGCCACCTCATTCCTCTTCGCTTGCCTAGATTTCCGTTCGGCGGGCACTTTGAACACTGGATTTTGCGATCCATTCTCACCGCCATCCTCATCCTGCGCGTACATCCGAGCTAAGCGTCTGCATTTGGCGCCGGAAGATCGATCAGAGGCCATACCTTGTCACTCATAGCGCCCTCCCAAGCCCTAGGGGATCCCCTGTCAAAACCTAGGGCTTTAGCTCAGATAGATTCGTTTATTCCCGTAGAATATTCGAGAAATTGTTTGACATTCCCGCGTTTTGCAATTCTAAAAGAAGATTGATCAATGGTTCGCAGTGAGCTTGGAAACATCTACTGCTGGGATTTCTAGGGTTCTTGATTCTTCCTTAATCTTCTCAAGCTCCAATTTGGCAGCATCGTCATCCATGGGAACTTGGGCTTTAGACAGCGCCTAAAAGAAAAAAGTTTAAAATCTAGATCTTAAAAGATTCCAAGGATAAAAGAGGAATAAGTACCTTCTCTAGATTGGAGATCCTCTGTGACTGCGATGCGATCCCAACCTCAAGCCTCTGAAGAACATGAAGCACCGCGAGCAAATGGCTGCTCACATTCCCCGCGCAGTGTACCTCCACCGTCCCCTGTGGCAGCCGGTCCACGCAGCCAACGTGGTGGAACGGACACGTCACCATCTTCATGGGGCACACGCTCACGCAGTGCCTGTCCATGTCAGCCCTGGCCACGCTCTGGCCACACCCCTGCTCGCACGTCAGCACCTTGAACGCACACCTGGCGTCGTGCCCGCCGCCCTGGACCGCCGAGTAGACGTCCGTACAGCCCTCGTTGGTACACGTGGTGGGGCGGAGCGCGCAGCGCGCCTTGTGCGCCGCCAGCTCCTCGCTCGACCCAAACCTCATCTCGCAGTGCGCCACCATGCTCCGGTCGATGCGCCGCAGCAGCGATCTGGCCAGCATCTCGCGCCGCCCCACCATCCAGGCGCCCGATCGATCCAGCTCGCCCACGAACTCCTCGATCTTGTCCTCCTTCTTGTCGTTGCTGAGGATCCGGCTGGAGACGCGTGCCAGGAGATTGGCCTTGGAGCGCACGAATCCATCCAGGAACCCCTGCAAGATCTTCATGGGTTTTGGGGCCTGGACGCGATCGCTCAGGCTCCCCAGCGCCGCGCCGGCGTACTGCTGGCTCTGGCTCTCCAGGCTCTCGATCAGCTCCCTCTTCAAGTCGCCCACCACCGAGCCCGGCTGATTGAACGGATCCCCAATCGTCTTCTCCACGCACGCCGCCGCCAGCGTCAGGAGCAGCAGCCCCGTCGCCTTGTGGAGCTGCTCCACGTCGTAGTAGCCGCATTCCTGGAGGATGATCGGCGATAGCTCCTCCTCCTCCTTTTTCTCCTCCACCACTACACTCTTTTGTTCTTCCTCGCCAGCCATCGCTAGATCCCCTTTCACCCGATCTAAACTTTTAGGTGAAACGAAGCCTAGCTTTTAAGACGCAGAACAACGTGAACACAGAGAAAGTTGGCAGCACGACTTTTACTCGGCCTTCATTCCAATGTGGACGCACGACCGTAAATACTCTTTGTTGTCAAGTCGCACTCCTCGTTTGCGAGCCAACGAGCGAGGAGATTCGATGCAACATAGTCATTAGAGTTGCCAACAAGTCAGTGTGAGTGATTTTCACTAAGTCCCACTGCATGCGACATTGTTTGGTCATTGAGAGATCATGAGATCATGATTTGTTTCACTTCCATCATCTTTGGACAAAAGATAGATACTCCTTCCTACGTACTCCGCTTGGGTCGAGAGCTCGCTCTGCCTGCCAAATTCTCGAACAAATCCATTTGCATCTTGGTCCGCCGCAGCTCCAGCTCGCACAGCATCTCGGTCCGCTTGAGCTCCATCTGGATCAGCATCTCCGTCCGCTTGAGCTCCACCTCGTGCATCTGCGCCCGCCGCGCCTCCATCTCCATCCGCACCCTCTCGTTGTCCCTCTGCAGCTCCACCTTGCACTCCTCGATCTTGATCAGTGTCTCGCTCAGGTACTTGAGCGCCGCTCCCAGGTCCGAGGACGAGCTCTCCCGCCCGCGCTTCCGGCTGCCGCCGCCGCCAGACTTTGATCTCGGCGACGCCGTCTCGTCCCTGTCCGTGCTCTTCCCAGACTGCGATGTGTAGGAGGTGTCGTTCCTCTCGTCGTCGCCCATGCCATGAACGCTCCGGGCTTCGATCAGCTCCAGTCCGTGATGCTGGTGCTGCTGGTGATGATGCTGGTGCTGGTGATTGCTCATCACGACTCCAAATCCCACTGCTGGAGCAGTCGTGGTTGCAGTAGCACCATCCTCGTCAACAACGTGAGAGTTGTGTTGGTGTCGATGAAACGCTGAGTGTTCCTGGCTGCTCTTCGCGTCGGCCGAGGCTTTGTCATTGGCATTGTTGCCTCCACCACCAGCAGCGCCGCCGCCGCCGCCGCCAAACATCATGTTGAGGCGATCATACCACGGCCATTTCGACTGCCCGAGCACCGCCACCACCTTCTCCTGCCGAAACTTGCCCCTCAGCTTCTCGATCTTGTGGCGGCACTGGTCGCCAGTCTTGGGCACCCCGCACCGATTGCCCAGCTCCGCCCCGACCTCGTCCCAGTTCTTGGCCTTGAGATTGCCCCGCCGCAAGCTGTTCCACTTCTCCTCAAACACATCGATGAGCACGTCGGTGGCGGCGTCCGTCCACGCGGACTTGCCGTTGATGGGGATCTTGGACATGCGCTCCAGCTCGTGGAGATGGTGGTGGTGGTGGTGATGCGCGTGCTGGAGATCCTCCTTCATCAGCTGCGGCAAGCACGCGGCGATGGGCGTCGGCTGCTGCGGATTCGCCTCCGCGAATGGATGCAGCGCCATCGCACCGATTCCAAAACCTAGACGCCGTCGATGCAGTGGCGATGGGATTGCCCGCTGGAACTGCTAAGTGATCTGAGCTCACCCGTACTCAAATTGGGCCACCGCTCCTCCGTGTCGCCACCGCCGCTCCGCCCCACCGCCGCCTGGAAACCGCGTCGAGCCCTAAATCACCGACTAATCTGGCGGCTGGCTCGTTTGACTACTGGCGCGCTTAGAGATTCCGGTCACGTGATCGTCGCTTTGGCCGAGTGGTTAAGGCGTGTGCCTGCTAAGTACATGGGGTTTCCCCGCGAGAGTTCGAATCTCTCAGGCGACGCTTCTATTAATTATTTTTCTTTAACTTAAAAGACATTTTTTAAGTTCTTTTAAGGTCATTTGGGTTTGTTTGTAGCTATGGCGCGGCACAGGCCGCCTTCTTTCTCTATGCTGCGAGAAATGCACGTCCACAATCGGAAGAAGCTGCAAAACGCGATGGCGGAGAAGCTCAAATCGATCGGCCAGCGCCTTGCTGGTGTGGTTCTTCTCCAGGTTAGAATTTCGTTTCTTTGATTGTTCTGATGATCGAAGCGTGATTTAGGGGGGAGAGGAGCGCTACAGAGATTGCACTGATCACCTCGAGCTCTTCAGGTATGCATGTACCTTGCTATGCTCGAATCAAAGATTGAGATAGCATGTGAGAATTTACAGGCAAGAGAGTTTTTTTGCGTACCTGTTTGGAGTCAGAGAACCGGGATTCTATGCTGCCATTGTATGTTCATGCTCATTTAATTCTCTTCGTTTCGTACTGATTTGTTTGCTCCAGGACATTGCCACCGGCCAGTCGATTTTATTTGTTCCTCGGTTGGATCCAGATTATGCTGTCTGGCTTGGAGAAATTCACCCTCCATCTTTCTTCAAGGTGATCGTCCTTTAAGAAACATTGTGCTTCCTTCTCTTTTTCTTTTTCTTTTCTTAAAGCAAGGTTTATCACAGGAGAAATACGGGGTGGATGCTGCTTACTACGTCGATGAGATGGTTTCTGTCCTTAGAAAATTTGACGCTTCGCTCTACTTGCTGCATGGTCTTAACACGGATAGCAATAGATACTGCAAGCCTGCGACGTTCCAAGTAAGTCAGGTACCAAGGCTTCTTATTGAGCTCTTTCGTCCAGGGAACAGAAGGATTCGAGCAGGACACCAAGGTTTTACATCCTGTTTTAAGCGAATGCCGTGTTATCAAGTCGGAACTAGAACTCGAGCTCTTGCGATATGTCAATGAAGTTAGCTCTGCGGCTCATGTCAAGGTTTGTTTTCTTCTTTCCTTGTAAAGACCAAGAACTCCTTTTCTGTCTCGTTTTACTGAAGGTAATGCGCTCGGCTCAGCCCGGTTTAAAGGAGTACCAGCTTGAGAGTACCTTTCAGCATTACTGTTACATGGAAGGCGGCTGTCGAGAGTGCTCCTATACATGCATATGTGCCACTGGCGAGAACAGGCAAGAAGTTCTTTCATTCTCTCTCAATACTTTTCTTGTTTTTTTATACAGTGCTGTTTTACATTATGGACATGCAGCAGCCCCTAATGACCAGGTTTGTAACTTAACCACTATCTCGTGACCACATGGTTGCTTTTGGAATGGTTATTTTTGTAGATTGCAAGTGATGGAGCTATGGCGCTTCTAGACATGGGTGCTGAATACCATTTTTACGGTTCGGATATAACATGCTCATTTCCTGTGAACGGGAAGTTTACAGAAAAACAACGATTGATCTATACAGTACGATATTGCTTAAATCCATTTATTGTGACTAAAATTGTAATCTCGCAGGGAGTCCTGGAGGCTCAGAAGGCTGTTATCTCCAAAATGAAGCCTGGAATCAGTTGGGTAGCGATGCACAAGTAAAAACTCTCCATGTGTTATGGCTCATGAGTTTTTTTTTTGTAACTGGAGATGTGCTTCTTTGTAGGCTTGCTGAGACGAAGATTTTGGAAGCACTGAAAACTGCAGGCTGTCTAAAAGGGTATGACGGTGTTCTTCTTTTTCGTTTCTCATGCAGATGCTCGAATCGCTCTATGCAGCAATGTAGAAGATATGATGGAAAACAGGCTGGGAGCGGTGTTTATGCCGCACGGTCTCGGTCATTTTCTTGGATTGGATACTCATGATCCGGGTGGCTACCCGCAGGTATCTAGTGTCTGTGGAAACGAAGACAAAGAATCTAATTTTCGTGCTCTTTTTTGGTTGCCAGGGCATGTCAAGGATCAATGAACGAGGTCTTGCGTCCTTACGAACAGTTCGAACTTTGGAAGCTGGCATGGTGAGAGACTATATAGTTCGTTTCTCAAATCTGAACACGACTGCTTTTGTGGTATGAAGCTGATCACCGTGGAGCCAGGCTGCTACTTTATAGACGCAGTGCTGGACCCAGCTCTGGAAGACCCGGTTCTCTCCAGGTTCCTAAACAGAGAAGCCATCGACAAGTTTAGAGGCTTTGGTGGAGTGCGACTCGAAGACGATGTGGTACCATTGGATTTACGACTTTTCTCTCCAAACACTGAAATATGTTTGGCTTGCAGATTGTGACTTCCGATGGCTGCGAAAACTTGACAAATTGTCCGCGCGAGATTTCGGACGTGGAAGACGTCATGGCTGGAGGACCTTGGCCTCGCACCTGATAGAGAGCGCGCATGTAAGAAGAAAGCAAACGAAAAAGAAAATTTACAACCAGGTATCACAGTGGCCAAGTGTTTCCAGGGTTTAGGGGTTCTTGCGTTAATGTGTGGATAAGGTTGTGGCGATGGCGTCGGCATGCTGCGTCCACCAGGTACGAGAATGCATTGGGCTCGTAGAAGCGCTCCTCATCGTCTCTCTTTGCCGCTCTAGATTTCCAGTCTTTCGCTGGGCAGCAAGCTGCAAGAGTTTCAAGATAGGCGTAGTGGTGCTGCTACCACACATTCCTCCTCCTCGGCAGTGCTGGGCTCCAGGACATGGAAGTTTTGCTCGTACAACCATCGTAGATTAATGCTACAGTCGGCACCAACACCGAGGAGTGGCGCTTCTTCCATCGTCAAGAGCCAGAGACTAGCGGCGGCAGGCATGGTTAGAACGATTGCGACTACTCCGGATTCGGAGGTGGGAGCGTCCGACACCGAGGGAGACTCGACAACTTCGGAGGTAGCCGAGGTCATTGATGTGGAAGCGGAGGAAGGAGCTGAAGATACCGAAGAAGTAAAGAAGAGCTTGAGGCAACCAAAGGTGAAGAAGAAATCGCTGGTTCACATTCTAGAGGTGGGTAAGTTCTTCCAGTTCGATCATTCACTCTTATCATGTTTTCCCTGCTATCTTTTTGTCCTCCTCTTTTTCTTCGAGCAGGCACTTCACAAGCAGGCAATTGAGGAAGCCACAAAGGATAGAGACATTCCAGACCTCAGACCAGGATATGTAGTGCAGATCAGACTCGTAAGTCGTCTCTCTCTTCTTTTTCTTCTTCTTTTTTTCAAGTAATTGGATCTTCAACTTCTACTGCAGGAAGTTCCAGAAACAAAACGCAGGGTGTCTCTCCTTCGAGGGATTGTGATTTGCCGCAGGAACAATGGAGTGAACACGACGTTCACAATCAGGAGAATCTTTGCTGGTGTTGGCGTTGAGATGGTCTTTCCTCTGTAAGTTTTTAACCTGTTTCCTAGTAGTGTGTGATCTCATGATCCATCTCTTTGCAGATACTCCCCCAACATCAAGGAGATAACCGTGCTACAAAAGAAAAAAGTGAGACGAGCCAAGCTTTACTATTTGCGTAAGAAGCTGGCCAGGTTCTCAACCTTCTGAGTACCATGCTTTTTGAATGTAAATTCATCTCGTCAACGAGGCCAATTGCCAAGTCGAAGTAGCATTCCTTGTTAGCTCTCAAAATCGAAATCAACAGGCTTGCTCAGGTAAGTTTCTTCCCAAGTTCTTCTAAGACAACTCTTGCAGCGTTGCGACCAGCCGCGGCCATGACACCTCCACCAGGATGGGCACCAGAGCCGCAAAGATAAAGACCGTCGAGAGGAGTTTTGTATCCAGACCTGTGATGAGTTAAAAGTAAGCTGTGGTTTCCTCAAAGCATATAACTTACCAGCCTTTAACAGGTCGTAGAAGAAAGAGCGAGTCCAAGCTCATGGCACCGTGAAAGACGTTCCCTCCCGTCAATCCAAAAATGCGTTCCAAGTCGGGTGGAGCCAGCATCTCAAAGTCAATGACAGAGGATTTAAATCCAGGTGCGTACTCCTCAACCAGATCGAAGCATCGGTTTGCAAAGCTTTCCTGTTTCATACAAAACTTAGCAGATATGAGACTTCCAAGAGTTTGTCACGTACTCTGGTTTTGGGGTCTTCCCAGCCTCCGTCCTTGAGATGATAAGGCGTGTATTGCACGAACATGTTGATGACATGCTTTCCTGTGGCAAAAAAGTATAGCCAGTGAAGAGTTTTATTTGATGGGTACCAGGTGGGGATATGGTTCCATCCAACGCAGACGGTATGGTCATCTCAATTACTGGTCTGGTTGATGAGTAACCATTACAGGCGTCCTTATGTGCTGTTAGAAGGTCCTGCATGCTACAGAACAGGCAACTTCGAGAATTTCTAGAGGCAAAGTTCTTACTTGTCTGCTCCAAGATGTATCGTTCCACGGTGTTCCGGCCCAGGGTCTTCTTGGCCTTTGCCGCTGCATGCTCGAAAGCGTGGTAACTCACTCACAGCCAGATTCAGCTTCGTTGTTCCCTGGATTTTCTACGTTTGACAAGCAACGCAGGAATAAGTTGTTAAGACTTACCGATTGGTAGTCAATCTTACTGATCTCGTTGAGGAAGTCCTCACGAAGTACACCACTCGGAACCATTTTCTGTACCAAAAAAAAAAAAAAAAAACGCGTTTGGTTTCATTTCAACCATCATCGGGTCGACATACCAAGAACGTTGTCGCCGCTGTTGCATTTGAGAGAACTCGTTTGGCTTCGATGTGTGTGCCATCTTCCAGAGTCACCTGGCAAAGCAAAGCTCTTGAAGTTGGAGCTTGAAATAAAATAGAGAGTTCTTACTCCTGTCACAGATGCGCTATCACCGCTGCTTGCCTCCACAATAAACTTGTCAACCTTAACGTTTCCATCCCTGCCTGAGTGAGAAAGGATCACCCTACAAAACAAGTAGAAAAAGAAAGCAAACGAACAAACCTTGGCATTGGTCACCAGAGTTGCTCCTGCTTCTTTTGCTGCCGCTGCTATGGCCATCGAGATAGATCCCATCCCACCTTGAACATATCTAGAGTTTTTCTCCAGGAACTCTAGGATTAGACTCCAAAGACAAGGATGAATTCGACAACTTACGACCAGATTCCACGAGCTCCCTCGGTTTCTCCCATTACGTGGTGAAGAAGAACGTAGCCGCTTCCAGGGGTGTCAACACTTCCCTGTGGCATCAAAGAGTATGGAAATGATCCAACTTCTAGAGGTAAGTTTCATCTCACCATGGTACCAATGATGGCATCTGTAGCAAGCGTTACTTTGAGCAGATCTGACTGAAAGAAAGAAAACATGAAATCACTTCAAATCATTGTGATTTTACCTCGAACCAGTTGTCGAGGACTCTAGAGGCTGGAGCGAGCAGGAGTTCCATGAAAGCACTGTCAGGAAAGAACAGACAACTCTGAACATAAACCCGCATGAAAACCTTACACCATGTCTGCTTGGCTCATTCCAAAGCTCCGGTTGACCATGCCAGCAAGAACTTTAAGCCGAGAGACATGGCTTGTCAAGGATGCTTTGCTCGACACCTCGGGTGGAACCGTATCCACGAGAGGCGCAATGAAGGAACTGAACTTCTCGAGCCGTTGCTCATACCTGCGAGCTTTCATGGAAACGATGTTAGCTATCACGACAGTTTCTATACCACCTTGGATATGCATCAGCGTCCTTCTTTGAAAACTTAGAGATCTCGCTGTGATTCAAACCAGCATCCGGTCCCATGAGCAGATAACTCCCATCCAAACTGGGTGTAAACGACGAAGGGTTCCTTGGCAGAAGCTTCATGCCATGCTTGTGAAGCTCCAGCTCCCTGGGAAAAGAAAGATATAAAAACTAACTCTAGAGAATCGAGAAAAGCGAGAGAGAAAGAACCAACTTGATCACAGATGGACGAAGCAAGCTTTGGAGGTAGCTACAGCGAGAAAACTTAAATCCGGGAACAATCTCCTCAGTGACAGCAGCGCCGCCAAGGACATGCCTCCGCTCCAGCACCGCCACCGCCAGTCCCGCTCTCGCGAGATAGGCCGCCGCCGTGAGCCCGTTGTGACCACCTCCCACGACCAATGCATCCCATTTCCTAGATCATGTCGTGGATTCTTAGGCAAGAAACACGAAAAAAACGCGCTACCTCTGCGCAATCCAGCCGCTGCCCTTCTCCGCGGCGTCGCTCACGAGATTGGTGGAGAAATTCCTCATCTGAGACGAAGAAGAAAACTCTGAGAAAAGCGAGATCGAAGAGAACTCCGCGACTGACATCTTTTTATTTTATCTCCTTTTTAAACTCTATCAAACAAATGGTAAGGAGTGCTTAGAACTAGCAGTAGCAAGAGCAGCTCTTGAACTTAGAGATTGGCCAGGGTCCGGACGTTCATCGGGAACGCGTATCTTAAGTCTCCCTGCCAGAACCTCTGAGCGGCGATGCGGTTGAAGGCATCGGTCGGGTGAGCCGTGTCCCAGAACAAGTATCCCGACGGCTGCTGGCAGAACGTATCGGACGAGTAGCACCAGCGGTTCTGGGGTCGGCTGAAGTTCGGACAGCACGGGTGTGTGACATTGCGCATTCCTGGAAAAACCAAGTAAGTTTCTCAGCTCTTCGTCCACAAAGATCGATAGAACCACGACTTTCTTACCGTAGAAAAGTGGCTGCTGGTGGACGTCCATCATGACTTGGAAGGCGTTGGCGTAGACAATGACGAGGCCTCTGAGCGTGCGCTGGAGAGTCTGGAGGAGATCAAACAGGCCCTGGTTGTAGTACCTGGCGGCGTTCAGGCCGACCGGGTTGCACCTCCCGTAAATCTGGTACATTGGCGCGCAGCCGAGAGCGTAGTTCGACGTGACGATCATCTTGCGAGCCCCGGCTCGGTAGAGTTGCTGAAAAGGAATAGTCAGAAGTTGGAAGCAGTCTTATTTGAATCAACGACAAACCTGGATCTTGGTTTGCATTTGGTACAGGAGGCTGGCACGAAAGCCGAAGGGAAGCGCTGTGGCATTGTGATCCAAAAGGTAGTCATTCACGTCGTTGTTGCCGATGTTTATGTAGAAGATGGATCTGGACACCAAGTACTCGGACAGCGTTCTTCCGAGCATCTGGTTCAGGTTCGTAACGTACATGTCGAAGCCGTTTACTTGGTCCGTGAACGTTAGAACTTCCCCTCCCTGTTCAAAGCGATCATGTAAGTAAGCTCCATTAAATTTTTTTCCAGTGAACTTACGATATGGGTAATGTTGAGGATTCCAGAGCCAGCCGAGCCGAAGTTTGCACCTCGAGTGATGTTGACGGAGTCCAAAAAACACGGAGGATACGACAGGCCGATGTAATCCGCTGCCACGAGAAGACGGGATAAGATTTCCATCCATCTCCTTGTCTACTTTGCAATAAGAAGAAAACTTACCCAGGTAGTCCGTTACAATCCTTCCATCGGACCATCTTCCGGTGGCACGCCTCTCCTCAAAGTTTATGCCGTAAGGCTGATGGTTTGCTCGAGCAGTTGTGTTGAGATGGTTGTTGTTTCCGGAGTCCACAAACGAGTCGCCAAACACGAACATCATCGGCACGTTGAAAGCGGAAGCGCATGTCATGAACTCGCCAATGCCGATGACGAGCAGCAGGAAAGCAGAAACAAGCGTCGAGAAATTCTGCGAGCGCCTCATTTTTTCTGCTGGCGGATCTGCACAGCACGAGAGAACAGCGGCAGCGTAAGATCCTGCCTCGAAAAACAATAACGATAAAAGGGAACACGTACCGAGTCTATGGCAGAAAATCCTGTTTCCTCTGTAGAGCGGTCTTCTTCCCTTCTTTAAAGACAAAGGGAGCATGGTTGGTTGCCTGGGACCGCCACCACCATCGCACCACCACCTTCTTGGCATGCAAACGGAACGAAAGCATCCGCTCCATTTTTTTAACTTACATATTCCAGGCATGACCTGACCCGATCTCTCCACGCCGGTCAGGAAAGTTGGCAAAGCTCCGGACAGGGAACACGGATTTCTTACGGCTGTCGTACTGTATAAATTCAATCTTCCTCCTCACCTTCGCAGCAGTCAGCCAGCCAGCCAGCCAGCCAGCACAAAGAAGTTCCTTGTCGGAAAGCACTTGAAATCTGTTTTGCGAATTCATTTCTCGTTGCTGCCTTTGTTTGTTCCAGCCTTTGTTCGTTCCAGCGTTCGTTTCTCGGACGGTTTGCCATGTTGCGCGAGACAGCTGCTGCAAGCTTGCTCGTCTTCTTTAAGAACGGGGAAGAAGCAGCGAAGCATGTATCTTGTGCTGAGCTGCCCATGAGGAGAGGAACTCCAACGGAACATCGCTATCCGAGCTTCGCAAATCGACAAGTATCGGCCACCAGCAGAGGAAAATGGTTGTTGGCTCCAAGATAATCCAAACTTTCCTTCTTTTCCTTTTCTCCATGCTTTCTTTCTTTATCTTTTCTCCAGGACTGGTTGGTGCATCGCGGATGTGTATTCGTGCGCAACTCGCGGAAGCATTCCTCCCGTAAACAGTGGTTTCTGATTTGAGCCTGCCGAGTACCGACTTAAGTTACCTTGGAGCTCAAGTATATCTCGTGTCTTCTCTCTTTCGTTGTTGTTGTTGTTGTGATGAGTGCGAGGGGAAATTTCTGGCGATGTTTGGTGGCAAGGTTTGTTGAGGCAGGCCATGAAGTGTGTAGAAAACCGGGGCCTCAGCACTGCGAAAACCATCACACTTTCTGCGGCAGCGGTATGTATCTCCCCCGTAGTAGAATAGAGAACGTTTAGAGCTTCGGCGTAGAGGAATCCGTCCATGGGTTGAGCTGAATTCCGAAGAAGCAATGCTTCAAAGTACCAGTAAACGGCAGCAGGATCGAGCTCTAGACAATGGCCGAGTGCCGTTTGCTCCTTCGCTCGAGGAGAACACCGGTTCAACGCAGCTCCGAAGGTCTCGAGTTCGGGAAGTTGCTTCCAGGTACAAACTTGCTCCTAGGAAAACTTCCTTGTCACCGGTTGGAACTTCATCGATTGATCTCGGCAGCCTGTCTTCTCCATCGTCATCTTCAAGCCAGCGAAGAGCTTCCTCTCGGCCGGACGGTCTGTGGCCTTCGCTCAACAAAGAAGAGAGCAGCAAGGTCGACGAGAAAGCTGTGCGAAGTAGCAGGAAAAATCTGGAGCAAGCCGAGAATGAGAAGCCTCGGGATAACCTCTTCGAGCAATCCACGACGTCAACGAAAGCGGTATTTGCTTGTAACAAGCCGGGGGCAATACCGATCTGCAAGAGCGTCAACTTATCTTCGACCAAAACTAAAACTTCTTCCCGAAAGTCGCCCGCACCATCTTCTTCTCGAACTCATGCGCCAGCAGCAACCAAAGCATACTCCAATCCCAAATGCATGTCCCTGTCCGTCAATGGAAGCCTTGGATCACCTCAATATGTGGTACAGAGATGGTCGGAGTCAGGAGGGAACTTCACGACGAAGAAGAAACCTTCACACAGGAAACTCCTGAGCTCCACCATCACTGGAAACGAAGTCGACGAAAATCTACACCACCACGAACCAGCTGCTTCTGATTCTACGCCGCTGACAAAAACAACACCGAGCTGTGAAGAGTTCCCTGTTCGTCCACGATCTCCATTTCGAACTCCATCTCCAGGGAAGTTTCCATCTCCATCAAGAACACTGCCAAGCCCACCAAGCTCGAGACCATCTTCCTCTCACGGAAGCCCCGTAAAACGAGCAGCCGCAGAGCAAGACGAGGCTCAACTTCTCAAAGTTCTTCACAACCGCCACCTTCAGTGGCGATTTGTTAATGCTCGCGCTCACGCTGCTCTCAGCTCCCAGGAAGCAGCCGCTAAGGTACGACCTCTGCGTTCGACTTGTGCTAAATCCTTTATAGTACAGAGATTGCTGTTCAATGCCTGGGCTCGTATCTGTGACCTTCGTACCGTCGTTGCGATGGATCAGATAAAGTTGGACAAAGCCACAGAGAGCCTTAAGCTTGCGTCAGTCCTTGAATCCCATGTAAGCAGCGGAGTTTGCCTTGGTCCTTAGTCGTCAGTAAACTTGCAGGAGAAAGGCCTTGAAGAATGGTCCCGGCTGGAAGACAAGCTCTCGACTACACTGGATGAAATGGTTGGAGCGTTAAATGCCGATGTGCTGCGAGTTCCTCTGTGTCGGGGTGCAAAGGTACGCAGCAAAGTAAATCTTATCAGACGAACTCGTGAATGTTGTCTTTGCAGGGTGATGCTCTAATAATTTACGGAGCACTTCAGCACGCAAGCCTTATCTTGGAATCCGTCGAAGCATCCACTTATCACTTGCTTCCAAAGGTTTGTCGTTGCTCCCAAAGTTGCGAAGAATTGTGCGTTGGCCTCTCTTCCGCAGGCTCAAGAGCAAAGCCTTTTAGCACAGGACCTCGCACAGACCGTAGAACTCGAGAAAGCATCTGTCCGGGAGTGTAAGCAACTTCTTGAGAGAATCGCGTCTTTGGAGGTGTGCTGCTTTTACTTGATAGCTTCTTGTTGGTCATCCTCGTTTATAGATCGAGGAGCGAAGTTTGCGAGCGCACGGGATCCAGCTTCAGCAGCGAAGTCCGTAGCTCCGACTGTTTGACAACTCTTTTTGTCACAGCCATACACCTGATACTGTACAGCCTATATAGAAATTCATTTCTACCTGGAGGCTATGGCGGTGATGAGCAAGAAGGTAGCTACCACAGCTCCGCTCGTCATCCTTGGCTTGTGGACAGCAAAGTTGATCTTTGAGCAAGCAGAAGTCTCCATGTCTTCCATAGCTGCTGGCTGCCCGGATTCGGTGACGTACCCTTTCAGGTCAGTGGATGTCATGTTCTTGGCTACTCACTATTTTCTTTGTCGACAGGTTTGGCAACCACGCCATCGACAGATTTATCTGTGTTCTGGTATTTTTCTTCAAGACCGCTCTGGACAGTAGCCTCGGACTCTGGATCTCTGGCTACTTGCTTTCCGTCGCCATATCCACCTTTGCTTTCATAGCTGTAGAAGCTTCACGATATGGACACGCCTGGCTCCTCAGCCTCACACCAATCTACGCCTTTCTCTTCCAAGTTGGTGGCATTTCTGTTGTCGTTCCGGCCCTCTGGCTCCCCATCTATATCCTTTCGAACGCAGCTGAGAGATCTCCTCGACATGCTTGTGATAAAACAATATCTTCTCACCGTGCAGTACTTATCCAGTTTGCTCTCCTATTCTTTGAGATTATTTCCGTAGCCATGGTGCTGCCTCTGAAAAATGTGAACAAAGACCTCGCCATCTTCCTCTTTCAATTCGCACCCATAGTTTGTCCAATATTCTGGCTCCCCATCACCACCACCAAAGACTCCGATCCAGCCAGTGGACACAAGGCCGTGGTCCATCTTCACTTCATGCAAGCTGGTAAAGCAGCCGTCTGGCACATTGTTGCGATCCTGCTCGTGCTGGACGATCCAGAAATTCCGTCCAAAACACTTCAACTCTTGTGGCACCACCCAGGAGACCTTTGGTGCAGCTTCTTCCTTTTGATAGACTGCCTCGTCCTTTTTGCTGCGATGGTGTACTTGACGGCTGTAGAGGACGGAACTACGGCTGCTCTTTGTATACTGCTTGGAGTGCCTATACTCGGACCAGGAGCCAGTCTGTCGATGTACTTCGCTTACAGGGAGGACAAGTTCCTGGAGACGACCATAAAAACGAAGAATAAGCACCAGTAGTCGGAGATAGAACCGCACCCGTTCAAGCGAACCAGACTTGGAGTGAGTCAAGTCGATGTAGTAACCACGTAATAACAGTGTAGCTTATTGTTTGTCCTGCAGACACTGACCCGTAATTTTTCTTAGTCGACCTCCTCCATTTTGTGGCTGCTGCTTCCACTAGGAGCATGCTCGGCACGCTTCTCAGGAACTGTCGTCGCATCGTGAAGGTTGAGTCCCAGCTTTAGCATGCGACTGATTCTGGCTCCAAATGCACTTGGATCTTCAAGGCTGAATCCAGATGTCAAGAGCGCCGTCTCAAAAAGCAGTAGCACCACGTCCCTCACTGCAGTATCCTTCTCGTTTCTGTCTGCTCTGATCCTCAGCGCGTTCATGATCGAGTTGTCGGTATTGATTTCCAGCGTCTTCTTGCTGGTCATGTAGTTGGACATGCTCGCATCTCGCAAGGCTTGCGCCTTCATGATACGTTCCATGTTTGCTGTCCACCCGTACTCGCCCGTCACAAGGCAACATGGAGAGCTCACGATGCGGTCGGAGACGACTACTTTCTCCACCTCGTCTCCAAGTATGTTCTTCATAACTTTGCATAGGCGCTCGTACTGTGCTTTCTTTTGCTCCTTGGCTTTCTTGTCCTCCTCAGTCTCTTCCATTGTGAGGCCCTCCTTGGTGATAGAGACCAGCCTTTTGCCGTCGTATTCCTTAAGTTGCTTAACGGCGTACTCGTCTATAGCATCAACCATGAAGATGATCTCGTGTCCCTTCTTCTTCAGCTTCTCCAGGAACGGAGAGTTTTGCACGGCGGTCTTGCTCTCTCCCGTGATGTAATATATCTCCTTCTGCCCGGGCCTCATTCGAGTCATGTAGTCTCTCAAGCTGGTCAACTCGTCCCCGCTCTTGGTCGAGTAATATCGCAGGAGCTCGGCCAGCTTCGCTCGGTTCTGAAAGTCTTCGTGGATAGCAAGCTTGATATGTTTGGAGTAGACGTCGTAGAACTTGCGGTACTGCTCCTTGTTCTCGGCAAGATCTGCAAAGAGCTCCAAGCACTTCCTTGTCAGGTTCTTCTTGACCACTTTAAGAATCTTGTTCTGCTGTAGCATTTCCCGGGAGATGTTCAGTGGCAAGTCCTCCGAATCGACAATGCCTCGGACAAATCCAAGGTACTCTGGGATCAGCTCCTCGCAATCGTCCATAATGAACACTCTTCGAACGTAAAGCTTGATATTGTTCAGTCTCTTCTTCGGATTGAAAACGTCGAAAGGTGCTCGCTTCGGAATGTAGAGCACTGCCTTGAACTGTAGCTGCCCCTCCACTGAGAAGTGTTTGACAGCCAAGTGATCCTCCCAGTCGTTTGTGAGGATCTTGTAGAAGCTAGCGTACTCCTGTTGAGTGATCTCCGCGGGGTTTCTCATCCAAATCGGCCTCTGATTATTCACGATCTTCCACTCGTGAGTGTCCTCCTTCCCCTTCCCTTTCTGGGCACCTGAAGTTCCAGAGGCCTTCGAAGTCCATAGAGAAATTGGATAGTTGATGAATTCTGAGTGTTTCTTGATAAGATCACTCAGCCTCCTCTCTTCGAGATATTCCAGCTGAACCATAGCGAGCCACTTGTATGAAACAAAAGAACCATCACCACCACCACCATCGCAGTTTCTACCTGGTCGTCTTTGAGATGCAAAATAACTTTGGTGCCACGGCTAAGTTTCTCCTTCGAAGTGTCCTTTGACACGGTAAAAGAACCTCCCGCTTCGGATTGCCAGACATACTGCTGGTCGTCAGTGTGCTTGCTTACCACAGTGACGCTGTTGGCAACCAGGAAAGCCGAGTAAAATCCAACACCAAACTGTCCGATGAGCGATATGTCCGCTGCTCCGGCAGCCAAAGCAGCAGCAAAGTCTCTTGTCCCCGATTTCGCAATCGTTCCCAGATTGTGGACAAGCTCTGGACATCGAAAGAATCAAATCAGTTCCACATTTTTTTCTACCAAGGAAAAAAGGCGAACTCTCGAGACTTGAAATGATCATCAACATGAAATCCAAAAGAAAACGCTCACCACAGCACACAACCGTACCGTATTTTGTCAATCCAATCCCACTGTCGATGATCGACAGGGTTTTGTTTGCCTTGTCCGGAACAATGTGAATGAAAAGCTCCGGCTCGTCCTTGAGCTTGTTCTTATCGGTGAGCGATTGGTAGCGAATCTTATCCAGCGCCTGACGGCAGAGGGCATGAATCCATCAATGAATCTGGCAAAAAAGAAAACGAGAAACAAACGTACGTCCGAGGCATTGCTGATCACCTCCCGCAAGAAAATCTCCTTGTTGCTGTAGAATGTGTTGACGATGAGGCTGAGCAGCTGATTGATCTCTGCCTGGAACGCGAATTTCTCTGACTCCATTGCCGCGTCGCGCCGCTGCAAAATCCCGCAAGAACCCTAGAAATATTTGAGACGCCACGCTAAACGTCGCGTGACGTGTCAAGTAAATAAAGGTAACTTTTCTTACCCTTGTTTAAAAGTGTCTAATGGCAGTTTTAATTTATTAACATTTAATTTTTTGCACAATTATGAGTATTTAAAGCTGAAATTAAATTAATAGAATTATCGCAAGATAAAAAATATTTCAAAGGAAAATTTTCAGACAAAAAGCAACAATCTTTTGTAAGAGTTTAACGGCATCCCTTGTCAATCGAGTTTCCTTTTGTAGCTTTGAAAGGACACCCGCCGCATTTCCTGCAATGACTTTGTTGCTTATGTACGTCCAACCCAGCTGCATATCAAACCTTTAGAGTTTAAGATGTCCCGGAGAATTTGTGCTTTCCACAAGGTCTTATTTTTTATTAATTCATATTTTGGTAGATAAGATTCACTACCATTCACATGGCAAACAGGAAACGCTTCAGGGCTTTTCGGACCAGGATCTCGCCAAGCCCCACGAGCTGACGCCAAATCCCACGAACATCTTCTACTGCAGGCACGTTATGTTCTCCCGATGTTTCATCATTCATGGAGGACATGATGGTTTCCAAAACCCAGTGCGATCCCACCGCAGACGAATCGAGTGATCCAAACGAGAAATCTCACAAAGTTGATCACAGGAGAGGAACTCTTTTCTGGTCTCCACGCCCTACCTCCAGTCAACCCTTCTCCACGTACGTTTCCCTAGCCGCCTACCTCTGGAAGGCAATCGGGGCCCAGTCCAAGAATATGGTCCTGTGCCCGGTCAACGGCCGCCGTGGACTCAAACTCCCGGCTCGCTTCTTCGGCAATGCAGAGTTTAGAGCACGGTCTGACTTGGCTTCGACAATTGACAGGGGCTTGTTGCTTCCAGGAGGATTATTTGCAACCAGTTATGGATTTCTTTGAACTGAAGTAATAGCACGAGTACCAATAACATAATTCTCCCCAGATGACAGAAGAGGTTCACAGGCGCTTGCTCTCGATCCAAACTTGGTCATCACTAGCTGGGCTCGACTGCCCTGCTATGAGCTCGGCTTTGGATTCAACCGTCCAGTTCTTGCCACGCCCACCAAGGGGGGTTGCGAAGGTTAGTGGTAGTGCTTACTTTAAGAAACTCTCATATTGTCTACTCGGGGTTTTATTATCAACTCGCTATCCTTTAGCCATTGCGGTGCCGTAGCCAAACGTTAAAAGAGCAAGTCTCTTGGAGTGTAGGATGATTTTTACACAGAGTTTTGAACTTACATTCTTCCGTTGCCATGAACTTTTGCAAGTATAATATTCAGCGGGATGGTTTATTTGCTCAACATTATTAATCAAAAGCCTTGGTATGTCTGCTCGAGCTGCTGATGATTCTTGTGGAAGTAAAATTGATGCTCTGCTATAGCAACATTCTCATGGACAAAGGAAGGTGATTACTTACGCTACTTCTCCAATCAAATTGTTAAAAGCATGGGGATTCTGTCCCCGTGATAAACTTGCTCAGACCGAAATCGAAGCAGGAAGCTATGCATGTTTAAGGTTCTGCTCTTGTTTGTGGTTTGGCTAAACCTCAACGTAAAAAATTTAGCGGCAGACAAAGCACCACAAAGACTCCAGTGACCACGTGGCAGATTTGGGATATTCGACAGATATGCGCGTTAATAATCTTAGTGTTTGACCTGACACAGCTATGTATAGGATGATTGAGAGAAGCTCTTCGAGATGGGTGTCGTCGTCGATCAAGAATCCTCTCTCGACATGGTTTCCTCTCACCCCGATCGATATCCACATGCCACTAATTCACAGCCCTCTGGTCCTCGCATTCTCCTCCCCGGTTCCTGAAGGATTTGTGGCCGATTTGGAGCGCGCGATCCAGCAGGTGCTGTGCCACTACAGAGATTTAGCTGGGCGGATCCGGAGGAACGAGTCCGGGAAGCTTGGGATCTATCTCAACGACCAGGACGAGGACTGCGGCGTCCTCTGGATTGAGGCTTCCACCCAGGAAACGCTTCAGGGTTTTTCGGATCAGGATCTCGCAAAGCTCCACGAGCTGACGCCAATGGCTTCGCAGGATCCCGTGAACATGGGAATCCCTCTTCTACTCCAGGTATGTTCTCCCGATGTTTCCTTCCATTGGCATACATGTGTGGTGTAGATCACTCGATTCGGTTGCGGTGGGATCGCACTGGGTTTTGGAGTCAACCATCGTGTCGTCGATTGCAACGCGCTCCCGGAATTTCTCCTCGACCTCGCAAAGTTGACCAGGGGGGAGCGGTCAATCGAGGAACTCCTGTCCGGGCAGCCCATTGACCGCTCCTGCATGATGCCCCGCCGCCCTCCACGCCCTAGCTTTGACCACTCTGACTACACCACCAACATCATCACAATGCTTTCCAGCGACGAGGCCAAGTCGATCGTCACCCGCACGATCCACTTCACCAGAGAGCGTCTCGCGCTCCTCAAGTCCGAGTGTAACAAAGGTCGCTCCAATCAACCCTTCTCCACGTACGTCTCCCTGTCTGCATACCTCTGGAAGTCAATCACCGCCGCCCGGGAAGTCAACGTCCAGTCCAAGACGATAATACTGTGCCCGGTCAACGGCCGCCGTGGGCTCGCGCTCCCGGCTCACTTCTTCGGCAATGCGGTGTTTAGGCGGTGCGCATGCGCCACGGTTTGCGATATCCTTGCCATGCCCTTGGGTGACTTGGCCTCGCTGATTGCCGCAGGCTTAGAGTCTTTATCGCAGGAGGATTATTTGCGATCGGTTGTGGATTTCCTTGCATTGAAGCAACAACACGAGGACCAGCAGCGTAGTTCTCCCCAGGCGGAAGAGATTCCCCGCTTTTCTTTCGATCCAAACTTGATCATCACTAGCTGGGCTCGACTGCCCTTCTACGAGCTCGACTTTGGATTCGGTCGTCCGGTTCTTGCCACCCCCACGGAGGGCCCTTGCGAAGGTTACGTGCGAGTGGTGCCATCTAGCAATGGTGACGGAGGTCTAGCAGTAGTGCCCACTCTAAGAAACGCTCATATGGACAAGCTTGTCTACTCCATTTTCAATGACAACAAAGATGGTTAACACTTTCCATTGATCAGCAATGGACAAGCCTGTCTACTCCACAGATGGTTAGTGAAGGGATCAAATCGCATCGACAAATTGTTAACCTGGCAGCTCTTCCATTGTTCAGCACAAATTCATTTTCAATCATGGTCATCACGATTGAGCGGTTGCCGGAATGGATCCGGATTCAGAGCGACGACGGGAGCAGCGATCATTCTCCATGGCTACGTCTCAGCCCGATCGATTCCCTGATGCCAAGCTATCACGTCCCACTCCTCCTTGCATTCTCTTCGAAGCTACGTACCTCTTCTCGCTTGAAAGATTCGCTCGAAAAGGTGTTGGGCTACTACATGGAGCTCGCGGGTCGGATTGGAAGAGATGAATCTGGGGATCTGGCTATTCGTCTTAACAACGAGGGAGTTTTTTGGGTGGAAGCCGTCGCAACGGAAACATTGGTCGAGTTTCTGGGTAGCGATGATGGTCATGGAAATATTCACAAGCTTACACCCATGTCATCATCGAACAATCTAGATTCAAGCAAGATTTCGATCAGTGAAGTTTACTCGTTCCAGATCACAAGCTTTAGCTGTGGAGGATTTGCGCTGGGGCTTGGAATCCAGCACCACGCCGCCGATTGCAACGCGGTCCCCGGCTTCCTGGCCGACTGGGCAGCACTCGCGAGCGGCAAAGCCGCGAAGTTTTCGGACAGTCGCTCGTCCGATCGTACCTTGATGATGCCCCGGGATCCACCCATGCCGGAGTTCGAGCACCCCGAGTACGCGCTCACGCCGAAGCACTACACAGTCCTCACCCCGGAGGAATCCAAAGCCCTCACCACTCGACGGATCCACTTTCGCAAAGGCGAGCTCGATCGGCTCAAAAACAGTGAAAGCGCTGGAGGATCTAGCTCCACATTCGTGTGCCTGGCAGTCCATCTCTGGCGGCTCATCACCATGGCCAGGGGAGTCAGCGGCGGCCGCCGCACGGTGCTCTACTGCCCGGTCAATGGTCGCCGTGGACTCTCACTCCCGGTTGACTACTTTGGCAACGCCGTGTTCCGGGCGCGCTGTGAGGTCAGCGCGGAAGATCTCACGGAGATCCAAAATCCATGTCGTAGAAGGGCAATCGAGCCCAGCTTGTGATGACCAAGTTGGGATCGAAGCTGATCCTCGTGAATCCGGCGCTGTCGTGCTGCTCTGATTTGGGAGCTTCTCTCAGCTGGAGAGCCACGAAATCCACCACCGATCTCAAGCGCTCGGCCTCGGACGCCCTCTCGATACTCGCCGCGATGATCGAAGCTCCAAATTCCAGTGGGAACTCCAATCCTTGCCACACCCACGAATGGTCCCTGCGAAGGCTACGTCCGTGTTGTTCCATCGGGCCTCCAAGACGGGAGCTTGGAAGCCGTCGCTACTCTTCGCCAAGAACACATGGAAAACCTACTCGCTTTGATCGAAGCACACAAGTAAAAAAATTATCGATAGAGTATAGTGAAACATCCAAAGTCTTGGATTCGATCACTCATCACCCGAGGGCCGAGTTCTCTTTGAAATATCATAGTTCGTCTTCTCCAAGCTCTCTTCTTCCTCCTCATCCCCATCCTTCTTCTTCTTCACCCTCTCCTTGTAGCTCTCGTCAGCAACATTGTGCCCGACTTTGCCATACCTTTTCTTCTTGCTATCATCATCCGGTTCTCCTCCACCTTTCGATCCGCTCTGGCCACAAAACCATCGCTGCTGCTGCTGCTGATCCAAGCTCCAATTCTGCCCAAACCCAAACTCCAACGAAGAAGAAGACGCGACCAAAGAACTCGTGCTACTCGCGCTCTGGCATTGCCCGGACAGGACAAACCTCCTCGTCAAATGGATCAATCGAGACATCGCTCGCTAGATCTAGCCCTAATTTTCGCTATTTGCTGGCCTTCTCTCTTCTTGCATGGGTGCCAAGTGTGGCTCACTAACTGCACCACCTCATGATCTGGCCACCTGGTAAAAAGACCTTTTACCGTTAGATTTGCTCTGGATAGGATTCGAACACATAAGGTGCTTATAAAATCCAATTATTTTCTACGACTTGGATACAAACGGTGTATCGAGGCCGATCTTTCGCCAAAGCCAATTATATTATCTGCTTTGCTTGAAATATTTGCTGGTAAAAATATATCACATGACTCTTACCTCCAAATATATCACCTTGAAAACCCCAACGTAGACAAATATTCCTCCTGCTACTCGCGCTGTATTCCGTGCGTACTACACCCAATACCAGCATTTTCCACACAACACAGTTGATCCTAGTTTTTGCTTGTTTTTACTTTGGACATTCCCTTCTCATCGAGCCTGGCTCTCCAAGAGAAGAATCTCTCTTTTACAAAAGCTTTCCCCCTTGCTACCTCCTCAGCCTGGAAGGTCTGCACCGAAACTCCGCCAGTAACGCTATATGATCTGACGACCACTCTGGAGAAGGGAGCGCTGTGTCTTTCCGCAAGCTCTCCTCGTCCAAAAGCTCGAGTAGTGAATCCACCACTATTGAATCCGCTGCAAACAGAGAAAAAAAAACGTTTTGCTTGTGTCAATCGCTTCATCTCCAGGAAGGCCAAACACTCACCGGTGTAGAATATGTAGTCCAGCGTACCAAGGAAATCTCTCGTGCAATTTGTGAAAAGGGGCTCGTTGCTACCATCACGCCGCGATAATGCTGAGTACGCACTTACCTGTAAATATAACAAGCCAGTCAAGAGTGAACGAAGCTCGAGTTCTTACCAGAGGCAATTGGTGGCACAACTTGCTCGCAGGTCTTAGAATTCCAAGAGGATCAATGGCAAGCTCCGGGTGAGTTGGTTCGACTCTTCCTGTGGCCAGGAGGGAGTGTGGAGCGCTGAGAACAAAAAACAAAAAAGTTGGCACTCTCGGGAATCAAGAAGTAGAGACTGACCTGCCAGGAACAGAATTAAAATCACCAGCAACAAGCATGGGAATTTCCGCGCTTGCAGCAATCTTCTCCAGACCTTTAAGAAGAGTTTGCACCTGAAGAGAAAAACTCAGATCACGCGAATTGCTATTAGGGATACTCTACCTGCCATAGTTTCACGTCTTTCAGCTCAGGATTCGCATGAATATGAGTATTGGCCTGAAAAGGAAAAGGTGTTGGAAGTCGAGATCCCACTGCATGTAGCTTACCACACAGATCAATTGCTTTTTAGACGGGTCTGGATAATCCAAGACCTCCAGCACCACAATGAGAGCGACATTATCCTAATGCAGAGGCCAAGTCAGTATCAATGACACAGCGAACGGAGAAAACCTTGAGAAGGCGGGTGAGAGCTGCTTTTCTTTGAGCAGAGGGCATGTAAGCTTCTGAAAACGATTGTGCTGCCTTATTGAACTCCACCTGATCCAGTAATGTGTAACCATTTGTAATGGTTTGGATTAGGAAATTAAAAATCTACCTCGTATTTTTTGACTTGTAAGAACCGATCATTGCGATAAAATGTAGCACAACCATCAATAGTGTACACCCCCGCAGCATAGACCTGAACCCCATGGCATTAAGTTTGAGTGTCCTAGCACTAGACAATACCTCTGCAGTCTTTTTCTTGTAAACCGCCGAATATCCGTGCTTCTCAAGTTCCGGAGCAAAGAACTCGTCAAAGTGGTCGCTTTGAATCTGAAACAATCATGTAGAGATTATACGTAGAAGTCCTGTGAGAGCATACCTCTTGCAGACACAGGATATCCGCTCGATAGCCCACAATCTCGCGCAGCAGGTTTTGCCGTCGGTAGGCCCACGAGAGAGCCCACTGGGGGCAATAGCTGTACATGTCGCTGGTGGCATACAAATCAGCCAGTACATTGTATGACAGAACCGTGAAAGATCCTGGAGCCCCCAGCCGACCATCCAACTCAAGCCCGTCAATGGTGTTCACTTGAACCATTCTCCTGGGTGGTGGACACGGAGCTGGAATAACCCGTTGTGTGAGAAGAGAGTTAGAGAGTCCCCCTGTTGGCATTCCCGTGGCCGTCGACATAACCACGCACTCCAGCTTGAGAGCATGTCCTACGTCTTCTTCCGTCGGTGTATACGTTTTCACAGAGCCTACTTCCCATATCTCTGTCCCGTTCTGGTCCTGTGTCTTCGTAGGCCCCCCTATGATACCGTTGCTCACTGGAGCACCCCCGCCTACAGACCCACCCCGTCCAAACAACTCGTCTTCCTCGGCCCCATTCTCTCGAGCAATGTTTGTGGCGTGTGCATGCATTGCCCGGTGATGACGCCATGAATCGGAGAAGCACTTGGACGAGCAGTGGAGGCTCTTGCTCACTGGCAGCTTAGCTTTCAAACAGCCTATACACTGAAGAGTCGCAGGCTCCGAGGGATGCACGCTACACACGGATGCTCTCTTGTCAGTTTGGATTCGGCACCTGGAAGATTGAATGCGTAAGAAAAAGTGAATAGAGTAGAGGAAAAAAAAAACACTTTTCTTTTACCATTTCCACCTAAGATAGTATCCATCGATGGGAGATGTTACTGGAACGTCGTCAGTCGTGGTAGTCCCATCGGGAAGCCGTAGTTGGACGTAGGGAGAGAGCTCGCAGCCTACAATAGGAATGTCCGACGGTAAATGCAAGCGCAGGACGCTCAGCATACTGCCTCTATGGAATGACGATCCTGGACTAGAAAATCTACAAGCTTTCCCTGTGCGCTACCACAGGCAGATGGGCCACTGGGCGGATCCGCCATCAGTAGCCCACCTGCCTTCCCCAGAGCCCTCGCCGATCCCCACGGCGGCGATTCAAGCTACAGCCCCCCTAAATCTCGGCAAACCAGCTACGAGAATGGCCGGCGCGTCAAATCTATTGATCCCCGCAGCTAAGATTACCTCGCGGCAGCCGGCGCTTGCGGCAGAGGGGACGAATGGGCTCCATCGCCTGCGCCATGCCTCTGGATACCCTAATCCCGCCTCAAAACCCTAAAATCCACTTTCTCCAAATTGTGGATGGACTCATGGATGTGATCACGCATGCCCATACGCAACCGAGAATATGCCGGAAGCATATCCAGCGTGTCGAATCAAATGTTGCGCTGCGTGTGGTCCGTTATCCTTATCTGTTACGCTGGCTTTTAATCCCATCCCTCTCACAATCTTTATCACAAACGCCGGGATTTCGTGTCAAAACGATCCACACCAAATTTACTTGCACGGCATTTTCTCCTAGAAACTCCAGCCCGCCGCCACCTTTGTCAAAAAGAGAATCTACAACTCCAGCCTGTGCGTGCATGTGGCCGCCACCTAAGATTACATTGAAAAAATCCCACGCACCAACTTATCATACTCCGCCACCTTAGGGCTACAGGGGAGGCGTGAGGCACCCAAAGTTCTCACATTGCCCGCCACCTTTCTCGAATGGGCGCGAGGCAGCCATCCATTACCACACGTATAGTTAGTTCGTTCTTGTGTTCCAAATTCCCCGGGCCCGTACGCAATCTAACGGAATATTCTTGCGCCGTAAGGGTATATACCGGGTAAGAGAAAAACAGGAGCGAGGAGAAAATATATAGGGTGGGCAACGAAAACGCGGACCCCAAAATTGGCGATCCAATCGCGCTCACTCCACCCAACGCTTCTCCACGACACTTACAAGAAGAGCACAAGGAGGCCTTTTCTCTCTGTCTCTCTCTCTTTTTTATTTCCTGGCCAGGAAAAGGGAAGAGGGCGATTCTCTGTGAGAGCGAGGAGCGCGATTCCACCACTCCACTCACATTGTTCTTGCGCGGTCGGTCACGCTGGCTACTGAGGGGCGCCTCCTCCATTTGCTCCCGGTCACGGGGAGAGCTGATCTCCTGTCCCCGAATCGCTCACAGGTGGCTCGCCCCGAATTCCCTCCATCGCCATCGCCGCGTGAACCAGGTCAGTCCCTCTCCGCGTTTTCCCAGATGGGTTGTGATCGCTTCCTTTCGATCCGGGGGATTTTGAGCTCCAATTGGAGTTCTTGGCGAGATCAGGTCTCCTTGCTTGTTCTTGGCTTGGGCGAGTGATGCGAGGAGCCTCTTTTCTTCTTTCTTTTTCTTTTCTTTTCCTTGGCTGCCAAGAATTCTGGATTGGATTCGTTGCTTCGCTCGCTTGCCCTGATTTTGGCTTTGCCTTGAATTCCTGCTTGAGACTTTAATGCCTTTTAATGCGCTGGAGTGGAGTCCTTCGT